TTATTCTAAACATGAGCGCATCAAGCCAGCTACTAATGAAGATAATGAATATTGCAAGTTTTTCTTGCTGTTGAAGAAGATCCTAGTAGGAGTCAACGACAAATTGGTGAAATAATGCATATAAGTGAGAGATCAGTGCAACGAGTTTTAAAGAAACATCGCTATCATCCATCTCATACTACTGTATACCGATTTTGAGGAACGTGTGAGATTTTGCAATTGGGCCATGGGAAAAATTCGTCGAAACGAATATTTTTTCAATAACATTTTATGGTCGGATGAATCGACATTCCATAAAAATGGATTTGTGAATCGACATAATTGCCATTATTATTCGACAGAAAATCCCCACTTATTGAGACAGGTGGACTATCAATATAGGTGGTCGATAAATGTCTGGGGAGGCATCATTGGAGAATATGTAAATGGTCCATACTTTTTTCAGGTACATATGAATGGAACAATGTATGTTGTGCATCTGCTCACTATTCGGCAGAAGTGAGAGATCATCTGAATGAAGTATTTGCCAATAAATGTATAGGACGGAATGGGCCTGTACGGTGGCCCGCTAGATCATTAGATTCAACAAAACTGGATTTTTTCTTATGAGGATACATAAAAAATATGGTTTACGTCGAGCCACCGAGTCACCTAGCTTCTTCCGAAAATATGCGACTTAGAATAACGAATGCTTTTGGCAGCATTACACCAGCTGTCTTGCGCAGGATAGAACAGTTTTTCAAACATAGACTTCAGCTCTGCATTCAAGAAATTGGAAAACATGTCGAACATATTTTATGAAAGTTTTATTATCAACCTTCATTAAACTCCTTCCTTTTTAGTTTTGTAGTTTATCAGTTGACAAATTTAAATATCTAGAACTTAAGCCCTGAATAATTCATGAATATACACCATAACATGAAAAAAAATTAGTATTATTCGCAATGTTTTTTCATCCAATCTTGTTTGGTTTGATATTGCATAATTTATGGGAAAAATTCTGCATCCAATGAAAAAAATAATTTTCCATTTAGAAAAATGTGATAGGTACAAACATTTATATCGTAAAAAAATATTTGTTTGGACACGCTTTAATGTTAAAAATTGAAACAAGATATCTTTCGTACATTATTATCAGTAGTCAAATGGATTACGCTTTGAAAAAAGTCTTTCATAGAGTTTATGGCGTAGAAATAGGAAGAACGACCATTTTTCGAAAAAAATGCTTTTGTTAGAAAAACTATTGAACCTAGCCATAGGGAATACTCAATGAAATTTGTAGAGGTTTCGTTGACGCTTCTTATGGATCAATAATATATAGGTTGTTTCATTTAAAATTAGGAATATTCTGCAAATTTTTATTTACAATATGTGGCAAGCGGTTTTTCATACCCTGTATATCACAGGTCGACTTCAGATATATCCTTTGAGAGAGTTACCATTGTAGAATATTTGATCCAAAAAAAATACAATTGGACTTGGCACAACTATATAATTTCAAATATTCTGAGTGACGAATATTGGAAAAAAAACCTTGTCATGCTAGATATCCTGAAAACCGTCCATATTTTCGAAGTGAAGATTTACATGAAGTGTCTCTTATTTTCTATGTAGAGGCCGACAAAACGATAAAAAATATAGGTTGCCATATAATAAAATTGCCTTATGTGAAAAATTTCCCATAAGGATAATATTGACTCAAAATATTCGAAAATCTAAATTTCTAGTTTTTTTATGAAATAATAATTTTGACCAGTGATACAGGTTTAGCGCAGTTGATCAAAAGTAACACCACAAGGTGGTGTTATCATACAAAAAACATGATGTAACCCCGAGTACGTATCGTGTACTGTTATGAGACCTGGGATCTGTTGGGAGACTGTTGGGATCCGTCCAGAAAAAAATTGAACACCCTGTGTGACCGCCAATATTTTTATTTTGTCTAGCTCGTGCAATGAGGTGATATTATAGAAATTTAGATTCCTATTTTCCTAAATTGAGATATGGAACACCGCGCCACTGTTGCAGGACCCTGTATATTTGCACAGATTTCAACTGGATGAGTTCGGTGCGCTGGAGTTATAACCGCTCAATATTCTATGTCTTATCAATAAAAGTTACTGATTCAATAGTGCCATTTATTGAGCAGTAACTTATCCGAGTCAACTTTTTAATTAACCCTATGAACTTCAACTGAGTTTTTTTTGATATCGCTGTTAACTTTTTAGATTGTGGAAGGTTGAAAGTCCAGAAAACTCATGAGTTTTTCCCTTATATTTCGTTTGGTCATTAAAAACCCATTCAACATATCTGATCTGAGACAAATGAACACACCGAAAAGGTGGAAGTAAAAGTGGATAAATCGCTTCACCATTTAAACCCTGAACAAAACGTAGTGTCGCTTTCCCTGAAAGAATGGCTATAAAGGGAAAATTATGAGTTTTGTAGGGTCGACGCACAACCACAAGAATATAAACCAAGTGACCCTCGCGAGTTACTATGCTGCCAAGTAGCTTCGGGGGTATAAAATTACCAGTCAACAAAAGTGTCAGAAACTTTATAGCCTCGAGATGATAATTTCCTTCCTTTCCTTCAGAGATAACGATAACGAGTGTCCCTGAAAAGTTGAGTTATTTCTTTGAACCTACTTTGAGTATTCACATCCAAACTTGTCGAATGTTGAAAGCAGGATAGAATACCTATTTATGATATGAGTGTTAAAAATAAGGTTTTATTTTGTGAGTGGAAAAGTTTGCGAAACGAGCGTAACGAGTTGAGCAATTTCACGAACAAAATAAAACTTACTTTTAACACAAATATCATACAAAGTTTTTTGTACAACTGTCCTGTTTTCATAATAAAATAGATGAACTTAATATTTCTCCAAAAACACATTTTGACATCTCTTGACAGTTAACTATTTTCATGTTTTCGCAATTTTTGTGAAGGGGCCATGTCAGGTGACGCCTAATCACCTATTTACCAAAAAACAGTATTGTTTACAGCTCACGCGTTTCATTTAAAGTCACATTTGAAGTTCATGCTGGTGTTTAATGTATACAGGGTGTAACATAAGTACGTTAAAATACTCAAGTGACGTATTCCTGAGACAATTTTAAGAAAAAAAGTCATATGAAATTTTGCCCGAGAATGCTTCGTTTCGAAAATACGGTGTGTTGAAATTGAATTTTTTTGTTCGCTTTTTGAAAATAACTCCTGCAAAAAATGAGTTATTTGCACGAAATTCGGTACCCGTTTTTTTTTGACGTTGGAAATCATAATTTCTCATTAATTTTCATGTAACATCTGGAGGGCGCTGCGTACGCTGTCATCATTTATTTCAAATTGCCCTAACTTTTTTGACAGTAAACTTTTGGTAGGTACTTTTCATCATAAAACCATATGACCCTATACCTTTTCCAAGTAAAAAAGGTACACCTCCCCAACAAAGCTGGAGGTGATCGTTTTCGAGATATTTACAATTTTCTATATCGATGCATATTACTTTATAGCCAAATTTGATTTCAATAATGTTTGTCACTCTCCGCTTGCAAATTGAGTTAATTGAATCGAGTAGGCTATGAAAGTTTGTTTATAAAAATAGAAGTTCGCTGTCACATTTTTAACTATTAATTGACAAATTCACAGTTCGGAGTGATTTTTTGGTACCATGCCCGACTTTACGAATGCTGAAATGGCTGATTCGGTTTTTGCATACGGCTTGGCTAACGGAAATTCAAGCGAGGCCAGACGCATCTATCAGGAAAGGTATCCCCAACGCGTGACTTCTTGTGTAGCGACATTTGCGAATCTTTTCCGGCGACTTTCCGAATGTGGAAGCTTTGAAACAAATTCTGCAACTGGACGGCCACGGACTACAAGAACTGTAGAATTGGAGGAGGCGGTTCTCGAAAAAATTAGTGAACATCCAGAGACAAGTACAAGAAAAATTAGTCAAACTTTAAATGTGAGTCACATGACAGTTTATAGAATTTCAAAGAAACAGCAATTATATCCTTATCATATTCAGCGTGTCCAGGCACTCACGCTACGTGATTTCCAAACACGTATCGAATTTGCTCAATGGCTTCAAAGAAAAGTCGAAAAACATCCGCAAATTTTATCGAAAATCCCCTTCACAGATGTGGCTAATTTTTCAAGAAATGGTATCATGAACATCCATAACAACCACATCTGGGCGGAAGATAACCCACATGCGATAAAGCAAACTCATTCCCAAGACAGATTCTCTTTTGATGTATGGGTAGGCATAATTGGGGAGTATTTAATTGGGCTCTACTTTCTCACATTACGTTTGAATGGAGATGCTAACCTACATTTTTTTGGACAGGAGCTTCCTCAACTTATGGAAGATGTTCCCAGTGGTCTCCGAAATCACTCTTGGTTTATGCACGATAGCTCCTGCTCATTTCAGTGTCTTAGCAAGAAATTTTTTAGATGTAGCATATCCCCAACGATGGATAGGAAGAGGATGCACTGAGCATTGGCCCTCGAGGTCACCGGACCTCAATCCCGTCGATTTTTTTTGGGGACACCTAAAATCACTAGTTTATGATAGCCCAATTGAAAACAAGGAAATGTTGAGGGATCACATCATAGCTTGCTGCGAAACGATGAGAAACACTCTGGGCATTTTTCAACTGATGCGGAATTCTTTGATGAGCTTATAACGGGTGATTTTTTTGAGGTTAGGATTTTCATGCATTAGTATTTGACAGATCACGCGGGATTTCAGACATGGTGCAAAGAGAAAGATGCTCAGTATGCTTTGACATTTCATCATGACTAGACTTACTAACGAGCAACGCTTGCAAATCATTGAATTTTATTACCAAAATCAGTGTTCGGTTCGAAATGTGTTTCGCGCTTTACGCCCGATTTATGGTCTACATAATCGACCAAGTGAGCAAACAATTAAAGCGATTGTGACCAAGTTTCGCACTCAGTTTACTTTATTGGACATTAAACCAACCACACGAATGCGTACAGTGCGTACAGAAGAGAATATTGCGTCTGTTTCTGAGAGTGTTGCTGAAGACCGTGAAATGTCGATTCGTCGCCGTTCGCAGCAATTGGGTTTGTGTTATTCGACCACATGGAAGATTTTACGCAAAGATCTTGGTGTAAAACCGTATAAAATACAGCTCCTGCAAGAACTGAAGCCGAATGATCTGCCACAACGTCGAATTTTCAGTGAATGGGCCCTAGAAAAGTTGGCAGAAAATCCGCTTTTTTATCGACAAATTTTGTTCAGCGATGAGGCTCATTTCTGGTTGAATGGCTACGTAAATAAGCAAAATTGCCGCATTTGGAGTGAAGAGCAACCAGAAGCCGTTCAAGAACTGCCCATGCATCCCGAAAAATGCACTGTTTGGTGTGGTTTGTACGCTGGTGGAATCATTGGACCGTATTTTTTCAAAGATGCTGTTGGACGCAACGTTACGGTGAATGGCGATCGCTATCGTTCGATGCTAACAAACTTTTTGTTGCCAAAAATGGAAGAACTGAACTTGGTTGACATGTGGTTTCAACAAGATGGCGCTACATGCCACACAGCTCGCGATTCTATGGCCATTTTGAGGGAAAACTTCGGAGAACAATTCATCTCAAGAAATGGACCGGTAAGTTGGCCACCAAGATCATGCGATTTGACGCCTTTAGACTATTTTTTGTGGGGCTACGTCAAGTCTAAAGTCTACAGAAATAAGCCAGCAACTATTCCAGCTTTGGAAGACAACATTTCCGAAGAAATTCGGGCTATTCCGGCCGAAATGCTCGAAAAAGTTGCCCAAAATTGGACTTTCCGAATGGACCACCTAAGACGCAGCCGCGGTCAACATTTAAATGAAATTATCTTCAAAAAGTAAATGTCATGGACCAATCTAACGTTTCAAATAAAGAACCGATAAGATTTTGCAAATTTTATGCGTTTTTTTTTTTAAAAAAGTTCTCAAGCTCTTAAAAAATCACCCGTTATTACTGTTGGGGTCGGCACTTTCAACAGTTGTTGTAATAGTTGTTTCATTAAATTTTTATTTGTTTATTTTCCTAATTAATAACATAGTACTCCTCCGAATTGTGTTTTACAAACTCCGAAATTAAACACTTTCTCATTGAATAATTAGGAAAAAGTTGTTTATTTTGACGAGATCCACCACATACTCAGTTATTGTAATGTTCTCAGCAACTTCACTTAGCGCCCAAGGAGCTAAGTAATATGCATCGATATATAAAATTGTAAATATCTCGAAAACGATCATCTCCAGCGTTGTTGAGGAGGTGTACCTTTTTTACTTGAATATTTAAACGTTCTTATGTTACACTCTGTATAATACATTTGTAACAAAATTTAATTTTTATCTTTTCAAAAAAAATCTGTTTAAAATCTGTTTTCCGTTAATCAGATGTCGTCCCCATACGAACGACAACTCTCAGAAGTTGAGAAACGTGTGCGAGCTAAGGACTAACGAGGTCCCACCTTTTAACGTGTGATTCCTAACACGGTATCTATATCTAATGTTCTTAATAAAACTTCCTTGAAAATTGGATAATTATGTTTTGTTCATTACTATTTGGTCGAAATAAAGTCGGGTTAAAAATATTTTTAATATTAGTGTTGAGGATATTTTAAACACGCTACTTTCTAAACATCTTTTGATATTCTTGACAACTATTAAAAATGTCACTTTTAATGACATTTGTGACATTTTAATGACAATGTATAAAAATACATTTTTGATGGCAGCATTCAATTTCAGTTCAGATCAAAGGTAGGAATGTGATTTTCACATTGCTTTGTCATGAAAAATTAGGGACCAACATAGTTTTCGTTATTTCCTTGCAAGCACTTCAAAAAAAGATTCTATTTTTTTTGAAAATGTTTGTTAATACACGTTGAAACTTTCAATTTCAGCGCTATTACTCCTTCCATATTGTGTATACCGACACCATAAAGACACCATTTTGTTTGCTGTATTTCTACCGGGAAACATTCATTCGCTGAAATACTTATTTTAATTAAAAAACTGTCTAAAACGTGTTTATTGGTTGAAAAATCGACACATGAGATATCACGAGACCACCTTTTATGTTTGAAATAAAAAAGTTTGTAGTGCCCTCTTGGCGAAAAGTAATGTAACAGTATTGTACACTTTCTTTTGTTCAACTCTTTCTTCCAGGAAAATGAACAGTTCAATAGTGTGAGAAGTCATCTTCGAAGAAAAACATCTGTGCGAAACTAGGCCCGAATAAATATTACTTCTTTAATTACTCACCATTCCTGTCTGACGGATGATTCATCCAATTTTCTTGAGCGAGGAAAGAAACCAAAAAACTGAATTAGTATCTGTCGAACATATTGGAACGTCACCTGCGAACCCAATTTGGAACTTTCGATTTTTTCCCATATTTCCTACGTCAACTTCTTGGCCATTTATCCCATATTAGATCGAGAAAAGTCCCTCACCCGAATATTCCACGGCGACGTGCAATATTCCCTCAGTGTTTATTCTAGATTCCCATCAATCAAAGATGAAATCGATGCCATACTAAGCCAACCGTTGGTTGGAAAGTAAATAATGATTGAGCGATTATTTCGGATGCTGAGGGCGTTGAATGTAATGTTGATGTGCCTTGAAGGAAACTTGGGGTAATAACATTCTGCAGAGGATCAATACGAAGAGACTTTTGACAAGGGCTTTTGAATTTCACCCATTTATTCATTAATTTTCTTAGGAATACAAGCAGGACGAACCCAAACACAGTAATCACATATATATTTAAGAATGTTATTCTAAGGAAGAAAAATACACCAAGCAAGTAGTGATACTCGAGAAATAAGTTCTCTAGGCTTGTCTTTTATGAACTGTTCAGCCCAGCAATGCATCCTGAAATACTTCTTCAGCAGATGGAAGCGCAATGTGGTCATCATGATTTCAAAACAGGGCCAGAACCCGCTGTTTTCCCAGAATCACCGTCGGATTAGCCTGATATCCTAGACGGCTAAGCTGGCTGAACCCCATGTGCTGCAAGGGCTAACAGAAGAAGTTGAGGATCGAAATGTTCTACCTAACAAACAATTCGGCTTTAGAAGAGCATATTCCGTCAAACTGGAGGCCCTGAAACTGGTCGAGAACTCCATCTCAGAGCTAAACAGGAGAAAAAATTTGCATTTAGTCCTTCTTGATATTCCGAAACAGGGCCAAAACCTGCTGTCCCCCCAGAATCACCGCCGGATTAGCCTGTTATCCTAAATGGCTAAGCTGGCTGAACCCCATTGCTGCAAGGGCTAACAGAAGAAGTTTAAGACCGAAATGTTCTACCTAACAAACAATTCGGTTTCAGAAGAGCATATTCCGTCAAACTGGAGGCCCTGAAACTGGTCGAGAACTCCATCTCAGAGCTAAACAGGAGAAAAAATTTGCATTTAGTCCTTCTTGATATTCCGAAACAGGGTCAAAACTTGCTGTTTCCCCAGAATCACCGCCGGATTAGCCTGTTATCCTAAACGGCTAAGCTGGCTGAAACCCATGTGCTGCAAGGGCCAACAGAAGAAGTTGAAGACCAAAATGTTCTACCTAACTGACAATTCGGCTTCAGAAGAGCATATTCCGTCGAAGTGGAGGCCCTGAAACTGGTCAAAAACTCCATCTTAGAGCTGAACAGGAGAGAAAATTTGCATTTAGTCCTTCTTGATATTTCGAAACAGGGCCAAAACCTGCTGTTCCCCCAGAATCACCGCCGGATTAGCCTGTTATCCTAAACGGCTAAGCTGGCTGAACCCCATGTGCTGCAAGGGCTAACAGAAGACGGTAAAGAAATGTTCTACCTAACAAATATATTCCGTCGAACTGGAGGCTCTGGGACTGGTCGAAAACTCTATCTCAGAGATGAACATGAGAAAAAAATGTGCACTTAGTCCTCCTCGATATTCTGAAAAATTGTGGTTTCGTGTATTTCGTGTATCTCAAAATTGCCAACTTTTGACCAAATATTTATGAAACTGCCAATCTTGCTGTTTTTTGATTCTATCTATCTATGAAAATAAGCTAGATTATATTCATGAAAGGAAAGTAAATGCCAAAGTTACAGCTGACCTACATTCAGTATCTGTATCTTTCCTATCGTTTCCTATTTTTCAAATTCATCTTTCGCGGTGCCACCCCGTAATTGCTGTGTTTTTCGATTCGCTTCATATCTCTCCCTCTCAGTTCTTAAATTTTCATTAATGTTGGAACTGAAATATTAACTTTTCATGAATACTATATGAGCACAAAAGTAAGAAAACAACATAAGATAGCAATTAATCTGAACAAGTTAACTTACACCTACAAAAGATGCAATTTTCGCAAGGTCTGTTTATCTCGGAAGATAATATTCACCTTTCATAAACTGAGAGTTATTAAAAGCTCCCAGACGGAAATCCGTTAAAAACTGAATTATTTCTCAAAACCATCAAGTTGTAGGCAAGTTATTAAACTTGCAAGAACACAATGAGCCCTGATGAGAAAATCCTAAACAGTTTCTTCATCGTCAATGACGTTTACCTGGTAATAGGGAGAAGGAAGTAGATTATTGTTTTCTCAGCTGTCTTGTCAATGAGAAGTATTTCCTTTACAAGCAGAAATAATGGTAAAATGAACAATAAAGCAGAATACTCTACAATCCTTGACTTGTATACTCTAAGGAAAATGAATCTTTGGATAACTGAGGGCTTGATGAAGTCTATAGAAATCAGGCAATATATGTACATCAATACAAACAATATACAAATTACCTCACTATTTTGATCAAAACAACCAAAGCTAATTATTAAAAGCAGAAAACCAAACAAAATAAGAATAATTCCAAGTACTTATTAAAACTATGAAAACATCAACAAGGAAAGAGAAATCTCACCATAAGCAGTGGACGGAATAACTTCCGAAAATCTTGAATTGATTAGCGCATATATCATCAACAAACCACTAGCTTACCATATTAACATTATTTTTGAGAAAGGTCAATTTCCTGAAAATTTTAAAACCGCTATCATGAAACCATTATTCAAAAAATGTGACACAATGGAAGTGTTAAACTAAAGACCAGTTTCAAAAATCAATACAGTGACAAATTATGTAAAAAAATTATGAAAAATTGGTTAACAGAATCTTTATAAATTAACAAATCACTGCCTAGAAAGCAATTTGGACTCACATAAAAATAATCAACCGAAGATGCACGATAACCTCAGAAAAAACTCTAAAATACGGCGTACCACAAGATACAATGTTAGGCCCTATTCTATATAATCTGTAGATTAACGAACTATTCAAAACAACAACGCAAGGCTCCATTTTCAGTTTTGCTGATCTGCGATCTTCTATGAAGGCTCATCCTGGCAGTCCCTAAAAACCAAAGTTGAAAAAGACTTTACAAATGTAATAAACTTCTTTCAAACAATTTTCAAGAAACCTTTTTTCTTCCTTCCACATGCTACAACGATAATCTCTCAACACATAGAAAACTTGAATTCAACATCGGTCTCACATAGATCCCTTCAGCTTCCCCATATATAGAGTGTCACCTCAGATGGAACTGCCACGTAGAATATGTATCAAAAAAAATGAAGAGCATAGCCAACAGGTTTGAAGTCTACAGATAAATATTTGAGTTGAAATACATGTCAATTCTATATGACACACTTATTCAAACACATATAACATACGGTATAAAGGTTTGGGATGGTATCGCAGACACTTACTTGAAATCATTAGAGACATCACAAAAATTGATCTTAAAGATCATACATACTCCGCAAAAACTATAGAAACCCAACGAAAGATTATTCACAGAAGCAAAAGCTCTGGATGCCCGACAACTTTACTACCAATCACTAGTCCTCCACCACCATGAAAACAAGCACAAATTTGAGCCTTTACAGTAAGCATAAAACACGATTCAAATCCAAAACAACAACCATTCCAAAAATTAATACATGAAAATGTCAAAGTTCGTTTATTTACCTCTGTCCAGTCTTATATGCTGATATACCAGATAATCTCCGCAGAATTCAATCATTTGGCTAACTTGTATCTGTAATGTACCTACATGAACATCTTATATTTATATAATAATAATGATATCATTCATTCAATCCCTACAGATCACATACAGCATGATATAAGACATGTCACAAATAAAAAAAACGAGTGATGATATTCAAATTTACAATCAACAATATTAATCATAATTTAATAGATTTGTCACATATACATGAAAACATGTATAACATTTATATTCATACATATGAGCAAACACATTTTCATTTTGTATCAAGAAATTCTTTGATACTATACTAACATTTGTCTTGCAAATATACTTTCAGTTTTGATTTGAAGAAGTTTTTATTCCGTTGCTCTCTCAGATTTGCGGGAAGATGATTGATAAACTTTATACCTCTCTATGAGGGGCTTTTTTCATAGAATGATGAGCTGTGTGCAGGAATTCTGATGAGGTCTCCGTTCCTTGTTGGGTAGCCATGGCAATGAGAAACTGTTTGATACATCTCAATATGTTGCATAAATAGCATTATACATTTGAAAACATGAATACAAGGAAAATACATTGAAAATATGGTCGACACAATTCATCTGGTTTTAGATTGAAAATGAGTCGAATGATTCTTTTTTGGGAAACAAATATTCTATTTGAGTTACTGGAGCATCTGCAGATGTTGTTAAGTTATAGGATATGTTGCAGTAGATTAGAGCATAATATACATTGATGAGTTGATTGGTATTGAACATATGGCATAGTAACTTGTGTTCACTTTTTTGCTTATGGCATCAATATTATTTTCCCAACTCATTCCACTATCTATATAAGTTCCAAGGAATCTCGTAACTTCAGAAAGATGAATAGTGCTATTTTTGACAACCACTTGAATATCAGTCACAGATCTCCACCTAGAATGGAAATGCATACAGACTGTTTTCTCTGCATTCACTATCAAAAAATTTCTTTCACACCAATTCATGAATTCTTCTGCTGAATTATTTAGTTTTTTTTTTGTAGGTCTTCAGGACTATCTGCATCAATGGCCAATGCAGTATCATCTGCATAGAGAACTACTGATTGTGATATCTATATTATATTTTTTTGTTACCTTTATCTATCTTCTTGTAATATCTGTGTATATATTGTATAAAATAATAAACTACTCAAGAATCTAAAATACTTTCGCCAATGCACAAGAAAAACCTTCTTTTGGGCGCTTCGTACTTATTTACCACCATTTACTGTGAGCAATAGTTATATTCAAACTCTACTTGTATATTTGGTGAATAAATTTTATTGTATTGCAATAGTTCAAGTAACAGATAATATCTACAGAGCTTTATATGAAAGTAAATGTTCGATAGGGATCTCCTAGACTTGGCCAAAGCCTTCGACACCGTCAACCATCGCAAATTGATAAGTGTGATGGAAGACGCAGGTTTCAGAAGAATAGTTGGAGATTTGTTCAGATCATATCTCAGCAACGGGATACAGTACCTACGTGCAGATTGAAAATGAAATGAGTGAACCACAAAAGGTAATAACGGGAGTACCTCAGGAAACTGTTTTAGGTCCGGTATTGTTTTTAATCTACATCGATGGTTTGTTTTCTCTTGAAGCAGAAGGGAGTTTATTTTCATTTGCAGATGATATGGTCATTCTGACGAAACTTCGATTGAGGTAAAAAATAAATCAGAGAAGAATCTAATTAAAATGAAAAACTGGCTGAGTGAAATGAAATCAACATTGAATCTGCAAACACCTTATACCCTCAATGATATTAATTCAATTAATACGATCAAAAACGTTGGGACGTTCATATTAATGAGGAAGTCACAAAATTGAGGTCAATACTATTTACATTCAAACATCTGAAAAATATTCTCAGCATCAAATAACTTGAAACTTCATACTACGCCCTGGTGGAATCCCACATCCAATATGGCTTAGCGGCTTGGGGTGATGTGTACAGCTGTCATGATGAACCTCTGAACTCATTTCACAAATATTTTCTCAAAATAATTTATTGCAGGAAACGCAGATATCCAACACAAAATCTATTTACAGGGTTCTTTGTTTGCAACGTAAAATTGAAAGTCAATTATTCTCCGTTGAACATAATCATCATACAAGATATAGAAACATACGAAGTTTGTAATCGAGAAAACTGTTAAAGCAGTAGGCCAAAAATCACATTACTTCCCTGCTCCCAAACTTTATTCACAGGTTCCTCAATCCATTGGGAATATTAATCATATCTGTTTATTCAAAAGGGATCAAGCTGTGGCTTAAAACTCTATCTAAAAGTGACAGTCAAAAACTCAGTAATAGTATTCATCAATCATAATTTCGTTCAACATCAAAACTGAAAAAATAAGATAAGTATAGGTGAAACAAAAAAAATATTACTTTAAAAAAATTGTTGAATTACTGATTTTATATTTATCCGTATATATTTGCTTCCAAAACAAATTATATTAAATAAGGCGTCTTTGGCAATGAATATTTTCTTGTATTGTTGAATGCTTCATTATATTGATAATAATTTACTGTATACATTTTGTCATTCGTTTAGTCTCAAGAGTACAGTGGAAGAATTGTCTGCAGAGTCCAACAGTTCTCCCTCCATTAGTCTTCATCTATTAGGTATTTTTCTTGAAGAATTGCTTTGTATTGCTCTATATATTGGTAAATAATAAATGTATTATTATTAAGTTAGTACTATGAAATGAATAAAGCGTTTCCATAACAATAGTTTTCTTCATGGGAACTGGTAATTCAATTCCTATTACATATACAATATTCTTAAAAAGATGAAATACTCTTTTTAATGTTATTGAACTTGTTTTTAAATATATTAGAGATTTTCTGCGTGCAGAATTATATTATATTAGAGGTTGATATCACACATAAGTTACGGGTTTCAGTGATCTTCATGTTTACTTACAAAGTTTTTTTTGTAACTTATTTTTCGTGCAATTTCTAAAAATGAATTTCTGGATTTACGATGACTCGATCTAAACAGAGTTTTCCGGTAACCGCCCGGAAAGTACCCAAAGACTAGGCCAGGAAGAAATACATCTGACAGATATTTGATATGAAATTAGTCATTTTCATTTTTGAAAGTTTGCATGGTTACCGAAACGTTCATGATTTGTTCTCGAAAATGATGGATATGAAGGGATGCAAAACTATTACAGAGGGTGTAATTTTGGTTTATTTGACGAAAAAATTTGAAACTCTTCAATCCCCTACCTTGTGGAGCCTGTACTGAATGTTGAAAAGTACTATTTTAGTGAGGAACAATGTGAGCATAACCACTTTTCCAAAAGTTATTGCATTTCTTGAAAGGAAGGAAGTTGGCTGTTGAGTAAAGTCTTCAACAGCGTGCATATCAACACGTTCTTCAGGAAAGCACATAGTGAAACGTATCTGATGCTGAAGGTGAATCCAACAAAGTATTACGATTGTGTGATAAGATAGTATCAACTCAATTTTCTTTATTTTGAGGTAGCAACAATTATTTGGTTAGCCGTTGGGTGTAGACGAGAAGAACTGACAAAAACGCCAATTGATCTAAAAAACGACAAGAAAGACATATTGCTTGTGAAAATGCAAGATCCCAAAATACGTATTGAGGAGACTTTTGTTGTAATTATGCAAGAAAGTCTACATTTTGCGACATCTATGAGTCAGAATATAACATTAAAAAAAAGATTTCATGTTGAATCTAAATAATATATTCGAATAAATCTGTAGATATATTTGGTAAAGTGGATCTATGATGAGATGGTTCGATGCAAACGCAATTTTGAAAAAAAAAGCTTACGTATATCTATGTTTGGATATTTTTGAAATCGGTCGATGAATGATGGAGGAACGGCCAAGCTGAGACTACTGATATTATAAAAATGAACAAAAAAGGGAATGGGAGATTTCTTGAACCAGAATCTCATATTCGAGTGGAAGTGGTTGAAGAAAATTACTTATCTATTGTTGTATCGTCACCACCTCCCTGTATAGTGTGTTTGTCTGATTAAGTAGAGTTTTTGTTTTCATTTTTTTGTTTATATTCTTATCGCGAGAAGACTGTGGTTTTCTGTCTGCCGCGAGAGGAAGAACATATAGACAAAAGGTTCGATTCCGGAGAAAGAACCGAAAGTCCTCGAGAAAACTGCAGTTGTACTGGAAACCCACACAGCACTAGATATTCATGGAATATTCCCTGTATATCATAAAACGAACGTATATATTCCAAATATTCATAGAATATTCTTGGAATATATACATGCCTTTAGAATATTCATAGAATATGCTTGAATAAATATGGCAGGATTATTCCCGAAAGAATGTGCATAGAATGTCTTTAAATGGATTATTCTCCCTTGAATATTCTAAGAATATTGTCGCTCGAATATACCATATGGTATATTCTTAGAATATATCCCCACGGTATATTTTGGAATATTCTATACAATGGAATTTTGAATTATCTTATAATAACGTATTCAAATAATTCAATATTATTAAAAACAAAAATATTTGAAGATCTTAATCGAATGCATAACCTAATGTATATAACCCTGATAGTGTTAACCAGTTTTTGAACTCAACGCAAAGATTCTGGATGAATTGCTCCAACAGCAACTGTTGGAAACGACAAAAAAATTTGAATGGGCCAATAAATGAACCAATTGCATCAATAAATTGGTTAATTCTCATCCTATTTGTCTTTTTGTATTTGAAATTATTTAATTACAAAGCGAAAAATCCTGGAAACAGAGAAATGGGGAAGTGAATAATTGGAGTAAACGTTTCTCATTGGTCAATTGAAGTGTAGCGCGCGACAGTCGAATAAGCTCTGTGAAAGCGGCTGTCCCTTAATGCATGGTACATTTGCGTTTGCGTTAAATTCGACATTTGATTCAACATGGCGGTTGACGTGGCAGGTTCGCGTGTGTAATGCATGGTGTGTTGATGTTATTATCAAAGTATAACTCTGACACATTCAGTGTACCATTTATAATTTGGGGTTGTCCAATTTGCAGTACAGCGAATAGTTTGATTTTGGATCTTCAAACAGGAGAGTTGCATATATTCAGTCTTCAAGAAAAGTAAGTAAAATGCAATAGTATAGATAGTAAAGTCATGGTGATTAACCTACTATACCTCATTTTAGGTTCGAGGAGAGTTGGTGTGTGGGATTTGTTGGTTTGACTAAGTACATGTTTGAACTAGAGTGATTTCAGTTGTGTATCTTCAATAGAGAAAAGTAAGTGAATGACACATTCTTTTGTAACATTTGTTTTCATAATTTTTATCACTCGTTTTCAAGATAGTATCAATTTGCCCAAAAGGAAACAGAGTGGTACCTGGTACAGGCAGGTGCGCCAAGGAACTGAAAACGTAATGATTACTTTTTTACAAGACAATGCATGTTGTTCTCCAAGTCATAAAATGTTGTAAATGAGTAACCTATGCGAAAAATATCTATTTGATTTTTATTCCAGTTTTATTGTGCCACTTTCAAATAGTGATAATGAACGTTAATGTACATTTTGTTCCATGTATTACTATTGAAACACTGGCTGATGCATTGTTGGACAAATATAAGGAAAACTATTCTGGTGAGCAAAGTTTGAATAACTTTAAGTAAATGAAATTCATTGAAGAACCCATCATACCACTCATTTTAAATACTTCATTTGTGGGTTTATTTTTCTAAGTGAGAAACCTAACCTAACCTATTTCTTGATGTAATACATTTTTCTTTTTCAATGAAATGATATATTTATTATTTTTTAATTAGTGCTGATGAATTCACAGAGTTGTTATTTTAGCATATTTTTTAGTATACATTTGTTTGAGAGTAGGAACATCCTAATTTGAATACATTTCTAATATTTGTAATATGACAGTATTCAGGAATATTTTATTCTGTTAATAAATATTTTGAATTAGATTTTTTATTTTGAATATTGGTTGAAACGTCAAATATTTCAATGTATATTGTTTTTAAAATATATTTGTTTATGAATATTATGTGTTTTATTACTTGTGTGAATCTTGTATCAAAATGCAATATATACATGCCTAATAGCGGTTACTCGTCACATTCTTGGAATATTCCAAATATTCCTAGAATATTCATAAAATATATTTAAAGAATATTCTATGGTGTTTCTCTATTGTATATTCCTTCAATAAACTAAGAATATCCTGAATATTTTATGAATATTCCTCGGGTTCTATTCCTGGAATATTCTTAATAGAATATACCTTAGATATTCTAAGAATATTATAAGATATTCCAAGAATATTCCCAAGGAATATTCTTAAAATATATCAAAGGTTCGCCAGGAGCACTTCCAGGGAATATTCTCCAGAAGATATATATATCCATGGCATATTCATAGCATAATACAATATCCTTAAATGTATATTCATGAAATATACCTGGAATATCTATTGCTATGTGGGAAAGTGCAGTTTCTTATCTCTCTCTCTCTATTTACCGATTCCTCAAGTGCCGTTGTGACCAAAATCAAGGTAAGGAAATCACAGACACGTTATATTCTCTCTTTTTGATATCATTATTATTGTTAGTTAATTCTCATTCATTAGCACCACTGAACAGAACGAACTACTCGATAATTTTCAAAGACCTATTAAAACAGTCCACTAAGTTACCCAATATATAACAATTGTTGTGAGCAGTAGAGAACAAATATAAATTGTCGGGATCAGACGGAATTTATTTAGTAATGCTGCAGATAAAAGACCCCAACAAAAGTAGAACTTTGAATGATTTGATATGATAGTAGGACCCCAGAATCAATGAAGTATCCAAGCATCATATCATGCATTCAGTGCATGCTCACCCCACAGAAATGATGAATATGCAACCATTATGTTCGGTTATGGTAGCAACTGACTGTTCTCAGAAGAGGTTTTTCTACTTTGATAACAGTAATAGTTTGATACCGAACGAGGTGATCACAACTTCGTCACAGAGTTGCAACACAAGGATAAACCGATAAATATGGTCTTCTTTGACGACATTGAAGAACTCGACCAATCGAAGCATCAAACGTTCGCTTTATTCAAGGTGGGTTAAGGTCGGGAACTGATAGATTCATCATGGCCTGCCAGGACGGTGTTTTGAACTTGCTGTCGCCATGTCCATCGTATACGGTCTATCCACCGGAATAACGCGGCCCTAAGAGTGCTTTAGTGCCACCTACGTCTCTTTCAGTGTACTGACGAGATACCAGAGGTGAACCACGCTCCGGGGATATCGAATCCGTTGTGACGATTGAGAAATTCCGAATTTTTCGGAACTAGTCATTCCCCACCCTCAGGCTTGAATAATCTAATGAGCCTGATGTAGTTCTCGACTCGGATTGAATCTGTTAATATGGTTTCTTTCAGTAGTCCTCAGTCCTCAGATATGAAATGAAACTGATTTCAAAATATATTTCCAAAATGTAATAAAAAATCAATTAACAATGTTTTTGAGTTATTTCACAAGATATATAACAAAATATTTTCAAGTGGTCTAAGTAGCAAATTCATATTTTCGCGATATTCTGAACTCAACTCATTTCACCGTTTGTTTGAATTGAAGGTGGTTGACAGGAATTTCAGATCAATTTATATTATATCAGACAATGAAAGTCCGGACTGATGAAATACATCAACTTATTTCACATGCAATTATACTACAATAGTTATTGGTTTAGACTAGAGTATTCTGTGCCTACTGTGAATATACGCAGAACTCACGCATGGATAACAATGTTTTAACAATGTTTAACAATTTTCTAGAAATATAATTCGTTAAAATGTGGGTGCTATTGCTGTCACATCTTTTTGACTAAAAGCAAAACAATTCCATTTTCAATATTACAATATTTTTTGATTTTCTTTGTAATGTTATTCATGTTTTCTATGTATATCGAACAAACTTTTATGAGCTGCCCTCAATTGATCATCTTCAACAGCAAACTTGCATGTCATCCATATCATACTCTACTTTACCACAAAACACATATTGGAAAGTGATATTTTTCAGTTTCAATTTTTCTATTACTTCGTCTTCATCTGGCATTTTTTCTTCATCGAAGTATCCAATTTCCACAGTTTTCAAATTGGGAAAATCGTCGAAATTGAGACTTTTATATACGCTCGTTTCGAATAAAATTGATTCGAGGGAAGTTAATTGATGGAATGCGTCGTAATCAATATCTGAAGAAGTGGTGTTGTGATGGAATGAAAACCGATTTAAATTAGTAAGTTTCAGTATACTGCTACAGTCGACGTTTCCTATTACATTGTCTCTGATACTTAACCCTTCCAAGTTCAGCATATCATCAAAACAGTCTGTACTGATGTTTCCTATTTCAGAATCGGAAATTGACAGGTATTTAAGATTATTCATTCCTGAAAATATATCTTTGTTCAATTGTTCGAACACACATTCAGAGAAAGACAATGACTCCAGATTATTCAGATGTCCAAAGATGTTGGAAGTTGGAATTTTCATGTTGGAAAGAGATAAAGACGATATATTTTTACTGTCCTCGAAAATCTCATTTTTGATTGGAAATTTGCTGTTACGAATGTCCAGTGCTCTCAGTTTTTCAAGTGGTGAAAATGCTTTAGGGAAACAGTCTTCAATATTGCAACCATCCATATTTATATAATCCATATTGGGTAGTAGAGAGAAAGTGGATGAGTCGATGACACCTGAAACGAGATCAAATAAGTGCTTGATTAATTATTAACAGCAGCAGCATTATTAACAGCAGTAGGATCTTGTTGAAAGCAATCAAGTGATCATTTACAGACCGGTTTCGATTTCATCAAAGCAGGACAGATATGCCCAAGATAGCATGCTGCCTGGTACACTACTGATTCATCAGAGGCAGGAGCTGTTTTGACTACAATGAATAATTAATAGTTCTATCTCATCAATAAAGTCCCAAATGGGGCTTTAAGGTGAGAACAGAGGATGAGGACAATTGTGCCGATAACGATCGCCCTCGAAGAGGGCACGTGGATGTCTTCGTCGAAGTGGGGTCCAAAAATAAAGTATTGTCCCCTACGCCAGTAATCAGGCTGGATGTCGACAGATTGACGAAGTCGTCAGTTCGATAATACAGTGTGACACACTTAAGATGAAGACACACCTGTATTCTAGTAATTTTTACGAGCAGATATTTGAATTTTAGTACACGTGTAGACCTTCATGGGCCGAACTTTTCGCAATACAAAGACGATATATTTTTACAGTCCTCGGAAATCTCAGTTTTGATTGGAAATTTGCTGTTACTAATGTCCAGTGCTTTCAGTTTTTCAAGTGGTGAAAATGCTTTAGGGAAACAGTCTTCAATATTGCAACCATCCATATTTATATAATCCATATTGGGTAGTAGAGAGAAAGTGGATGAGTCGATAACACCTGAAACGAGATCAAATAAGTGCTCAACTAATTATTAACACAATATCTTGAAGATGCTCCTCATTCGTTCAGCAGTAGATCTTGTTGAAAGCAATCAAGTGATCACTTATAAACCGGTTTCGATTTTGTCAGAGCAGGACAGATATGTCCAAGATAACATGCTGCCTGGGACACTACTGATTCGTAAGAGCCGGGGCTGTTTTAACTTCAATGAAGTAGTAACAGTTCTATTTCATCAAGAAACTCCCAAATGGAACTTTATGGTAAGAAGAGAGAACAGAGGACAACTGTGCCAATAAGGACTTCATATTCTAGGGTTGTGAAGTATTCTTCAGGAGCTTCAAAATGATGTGTAACAAGACCCCCCATTCCTTTTAATTTTTTTCCCAGATGGCCACCAGTCGCCATCTTGAAAGCTTCATCTGTCAATTTCACTTCAAAATAAAGTATCCATGCATTGATTTCATTATCCCAAATTTCAATTTTTTGAGTTGTCCCGTTCAAAAAATAAAAGAAAGGGGACATTAAAAAAATGCACTGTTTACTACGGTTCAAGCCAGAATATAATAAATTCCTTACACATCACGCACGAAACTTGGTAGAATATTATTCCACACTGCCATCCCTTCACTCCTATGTCAAAAGAAGAAATTCATCAATTTTAACATGAAACTTCTGATGATATGTATCTAGTTAATTTGGATAAATCTGTTATTTTGCTTTATTCATGGAATGTCCTGTTATTAGGAATAACGAAAGCATCTACATTTCTTTCTGAGCATATAAATTATAATCAATATATTTCATGACACGGTTGATCTATACGTGGAAGATATTAACAAATTTCACCTTCCGGAGAGGATGACATTTTTAAGAGCGAAATCAATAACACAAATGTATACCAATAAGTAATAGCACACAAGGCGCCCTCTAATGAGCAGACGCCAAAGTTATGAAATATGGTGTAAAGGGTCCTTCTCAAAGAAACTTTCACACTGAAATTGAAATGACCACTTAGATGAAAACTACATTTATAATCAATATATTTCATGACACGGTTGATCTATACGTGAAAGATATTAACAAATTTCACCTCACGGAGAAGATGACATTTCTAAGAGCGAATTCAATAACACAAATGTATACCAATGAGTAATAGTACACAAGTCGCCCTCTAATGAGCAGACGCCAAAGTTCTGAAATACAGTGTAAAAGGGTCCTTCTTAAAGAAGCAGTTTATTTGTCGAAAATTGGACTTTCACACTGAAATTGAAATGACCACTTAGATGAAAACTACATTTATAATCTTACCTAGTTTTATTATTCAACACTTTTTTTTCAGTAGATTTTTTAAATCGAGTAGAAACGATGGTCGTGGTGACCAACATTTTATATGAATTCGACAACACAGTAAAACTTATTCATAGTGTATTGGTAATCCAATTTTCTCTTGATAAGTAATAAAGAGACTCTATGAGCTTCATACTCCCATTCACAGAGGTGTTGAGTAGATACAATTAAAAAGGACACTGCTTGACTATGTCAAATTGGTATTTTCATTTACATTTGGAAATAAATTGATGTCAAGTAAAAGACTTTTTTTGCATTATGATCCACAAATTAAAGATCTCAATAAAATATGAGTGACGACAGATTTTGATACATGATCCATTTATAAAAATGTAAACAAAATTGGGTTAATCTCATTTTTCGCGTCGAAAGTTTTTGACAAAACAAAAGCGAATTTGTTTACACACCGGGGTTTCTATGTATCCTTGTCATGAATGAACCATTTTCTTTACAGAACTAATGAATGACTCAATCATTTATTTTTTCGAAAAATGCATAAGTATATTGTCGCAATTTAAAAAATAATATTGACGAAATGTACTAATTACTTATAAGTAATTCAAAGAGATTTTCTCCTCATTTGAATTTGATTTACTAATTTCCTCATATAAAAATATAAAGCAGTTACCTGAACAATTTTTCATATCCAACCACTCCGCCCCTGGGTAGATTTCACTATCTCCAAACAATTTGATTGGTTCACCTTCTTTTAATATGTAATTTTCACAGTGTACATGGTGACTTGAAGCACCTAGATAAGTTGTCGGTTCCATTTTTCTCTGTAAATCACTTCAAAAGATACAAAACTAGATAGGTATACGTGTTTTGTTTGCATGGATTATTCATTCTAGTCATCTTCCAGTTTATAATATTGTCTATGTTTCCGGTAACTTGAATCTAAATTTCATATGTATATGAGAAATGTCTAATTTCAATTTATGGTTGAAAATATTGCACGGTCATACTGTTTATTCACAAACTATTTGTAGAATCTTCGACATTTCAGGTCAAACACCATTTTAATTCTTCTTGAAAGGACAACGCTTCTTACACAAATTACAAATATTTCACGGTAACGTTGATCTAACCACGATACAATGATTTCGGGTTATATTCTGTCTAATATTCCGGTACCGGTAAAGCTCTTTGAAGTCATGAGTGGGGCCGTTCATTTTGAATGATGCCTAAAGGAATATTATGCTTCGTCATTTCATTTTCCTGAGTCTTAACAGGAAACTAGTACTGGGTGTTCGTAGAAAGCAGTATTCTGGCAAGCAAATCATTCAGCTTAACTATATGATGACAAAATAATTGGAAATTTGCCAATGAAACATGGATGAAATGATATCTGATAACATGAGAAAACTAACAAACCGAGTGGATTGAAATCCGTGATAACATTAGAAATTATCATCATGATCATAAGAAAACAAATGCGTTTCGCGAATGTATCCGGAGGTGATGAAACTACAATGTTAATCAATTTATTTGTCATAATTTGGAAGAGAGCATGGGGGTAAATTATGAAACTGAATCTATCGAAAATACTTTTCCCTCACCTGAACAAAAATGATATTTCTTGACGCGCGTTGCGCTAACCAAGTTAGCATTATCAGGAGATGACTAAATGGTTTCTAGTCATCAAGATATAAAACTGAATTCAATGAATCATGATTTTCAAGTTATGGTTCATTAATTTTCACTTTTTTGCTATTTCATTCGCTCAAATGAATGAAACAAATTTTCTACTTCAGTCTAATATCGGTGTTTACCTGAGAAGGTTACATTCACAATGATTCAGAAGCTGGTAACATTTGATTCAACTGAAAAGAGAAATGAAAATTTCTATGTTTTATACCACTTTTATTTGTAACTAACTGCAGTTTCGTCCTATATGGACATTTTCAAACTTAAACAAGAGTTTATTGTTTAAGTTTGAAAATGTCCATATAGGACGAAACTGCAGTAAGGTTAGTTACAAATAAAAGTGGTAAAAAACATAGAAATTTTCATTTCTCTTTTCATCATGATTTCCTACCACATAGTAACGGCTACATCCATCAATTTATTTTATTCAACTTCTTTCTACTCTAGTGCCCTTAGTATTCTTTCTTCAGTAGATGATATAAACTAATATCATGAGTAGGATAACTTTCCCAAAAGTACTCTCTGAGGATGAACAGAATTAAGACACACATATACATAATAAATACTCAGTAGATACAGAAATATAAAAAAAAATTGAATATCATTTTTTCAAAATCACCACTTCTTTTTTTTTCGAAAAATAAAGTTGGCAGATTTGTGAGGTACCTAAGTTTCAGTTGACAAATTACCGTTGATAAAAATGCATACTATGTGTTAATTGATACTTTTAAATTTATCAACTCACAGATTATTTCATTTACATTTTTTGGCATATTGATCAACGATTCAATCAAAAATATTTCTTCAATAATAGAAAGTTTTAGCCAAAAATCTTTGTACCTATGCTATTCATGACTACACTCCTGAAACAGTCATATGTTCATTTCTAATTATTTTGGATACATTTTCAGCATGTCCAGATTGTTTATCTTGTAGTAAACTTATAAAGAGACAGATCAGATCTTTATTATTCTAAATTATCTGCATAATGGATATTATTCATGTAAATGAATTATTAATTACAACCCTGATATTTTATTTCAGAATTAATTTTTAACGGTATATAGTTCCGTTTTCGGTCACTCAGTCACTCTCGATTTTGAAGCCAGCAAGCAAGCCCTTTATATATTTTGATGAATGGGTACAAGTCTCCCAGAATGAGACAAACGTCTTTCAATACTTTTGAATGAATATTATTTAAAATTACTGTGAACCAAACAGGGTATTAAATTAGAGATACACGCCACTGACAGTAAAAGAAATGTGTGGTTGGTTCATCACTCCAAAGTTCAATAAAATTTCAGTTATCTATGAAAACAGTTTGCTTTATGTATTTGCATCTCATTTAATGGGTTTGTCTGGAGTAACTAAATATGGCTAATGTATTCAAATCTTTGATTCTTGGAGCCCCAGCTTCTGGGAAAGGAACTATTTCTGGCAGGATAATAAAAAATTTCAATTTGGAACATATATCTAGTGGAGATAAGCTGAGGCAGAACATTCAAAACAAAACCGGTGAGAACCTTTTTATTGTTAATCTTTTGAAAGTACCTGGTATGTGTGATATTAACCTCAATTCAATTTCTTTATTGAAAATTTTGATGTAGAATTTGAATCTGAAAAATCCCCACTAACTTGTTTACTATTCAATTTTTGACGGTCGACAGTGCCACATGCGAGAATTGCTATATTTTAGTTTTCAGTCAGTGTCTATACTCCCGTGTTACGTGAACAAAATTAAATTTCAGTCAACCTTAGATAAACAGGTGTTACACTAATGCGGAATGATTTGAGAGTATGTGTTTCAAAGAAATGTGAATGAGTAATTCCAGGTGAAGAAATATGTAATACTTTTCTGAGAATTTTTTTTAGTTTATTTTGGAATCAAGTTCGAGATATCAAAAGAAACAAGTTATTTTTTAAGAGTAATTTTTTTTATTTACTATATCAAATAATTTTGTTTTTTTTTATTTATGCTATGGTTGTTTTTCTGCAAATTTTCTGTCTCAATTCGAAATTAATATAGAGATTTTCTGTGAATATCGAATCTAATTATAGATTCAGTTTTCAAAATAGTACATCAAATGATATATTTCAAGCAACCTCTTACATTGATCATGTTCGAAAAATAAATGATATGATATCGCTGAATATTTATTATGGAATTATTCTTATTTTCATTTCTAGCCATTGGCGTTGAAGCCGAGAAATACATAAAAGATGGCAAACTGGTGCCGGACGACATTATGATAAAATTCATCACATCCGAACTGAAAAAATTGCCCAATCAAATGTGGCTGCTAGATGGTAAGTGACAATCATTCGAAACAACATAGATACAGTTTGTTAAATCTAGGAAGAAAATTGAGAATTCTCATAACCTACCCATTCTCCGACAGTAAACATTAGGGAGAAAGAGAATGGAAACTAGCGCTTGTCAAGAAGGACAATCTCCGTCAAATAATAGAATCAATGATCCATTATTAATTAATTTATTTATTTTTCCAAAACTCTTGCATAGACAATACATCAGTAACATCGCAAGTATGTAACAGTAGTGACAGCGGTGGGATGAAGAAACGGTTAGGCAAGAAGGCGGTGGGCACAGAGTACAACGGAGAAGATGCTGTGTGATTATTCCAACGCTAGCCCAAAAACTGACAAGGAAAGGTCCATTATTTATGAGCAATAAGGAAAATGTTTGGTCTGTCGTCTCCAATTAACACAGTGTTTCTCAAAGTGTTCTCAAAGACTCACCCGTGGCCCACCTTTACTGGGGCGCCGTGAGTCACGTACCTACTTTTTGTAGTCTTTACATTCGGAGCACCGCGAAAACCTTTAAAAAACATAAGGGAGCCGTGAACTCGAAAAGTTTGAGTAACACTGAATGAACACAATGGAGAAAATCAGACGGCTTGAGTATGATATATATTTTCCACCTTTTGGTGATCACCTAGTCAGTTTTAGCGAGGAGAAAGAAAGCAAAATATTGGAATAGTGCGATAAATACAAAGTGCGAGATATAAGAGTTCTGTTCAAAAAATAAGGTGAATGTTCTAATTTCGCGGGTTACGTAAATTCCATTAGCGACATTTCATATTGATACACTCATCTCTAGCATATGTTCACAGCTTCAGTTCTTTAGCATGTTCAGTTTGTTGGTGAGAAACATAAAATTAGAAGTATTTTGCGTGTATGGCGATTTCATTCTATATAAATAGAATGGACCAAGGGATTTGCATCAGATTTTGTGTGAAAAATAGAATCAATTGCTCAAAAATACTTGAAATCTTGACAGTGGTACACGGTTATTGTCCTCTGAGTCTGAAAAATATTTACAAGTGGTACAAGATTTTCACCGAAGGTCGGGAAGATGTGAATGATGATGCTCGCTTCGGATACCCAGCACATCAACAACCGATGAAAATGTTGGGGAAGTGAAGACATTTTTCATGGAGAATCAACGAGTCACTATTAATAATAATTATAATGATATCAATATATTTCAGAGAATGGTTTACATTCCATTAAGAAAACATCAAACATAAAATGAAACAACGTTACACAATTTCTACGTAAAGGTTTATAACTTATCTAGATACCTACTCCTGAAGTGAATAAGGTTCTAACTTGAACAAAGCTCTTCGACACCTGTTTTGATTTTTTTTCAGGCTCTCTAACATTTTAAGTCTCTGTGGTAATTTATTGAACAACCTATAGACACATAGAATGGATGCCTCTCTGACACTGTCAATTTGTGAATCGGAAAAGATATATTCATATTGCGCTTGGGATAATTATGACTTGGTCTAGCTTCTAAAAATCTAATATTATTTTTGAATAGGTATACTACATTCTCATATATATAGATCGCATATACCGTCAAGATATTATTTGCCTTGTAGATTCCCCGGCATGACTGATGAAAGTTCAGTTTGAAAATAACTCTCATAATTCTTTTTTTGATAAGGAATATATCAGAGGTACTACTGCAGCTTCCCCAGAATATTATACCAAATATGAGTAAAGATTCAAAATTCGCAGAATATATAATTTTTAGTGATTTTTCATTGAGGTAGGAGCCAACTCACAATCTCTGTTCTTATAGATGGGTGTTATCAAAGCATCTTTCAATTGTTCGGGAAAGATTCCATGTTCAAAATAGTTATTATTATATGGCAAATAATACTAGCAACGTTATCTATACATTTCATCTTATTAGAGAAGTTGCTGAGGATATTAGCATATCGGTTGGCTCATGTCATGTAATTTTTTCGTAAATTTTGGGTATGAAGCGTGTAGCAGCGAATTTCGTTTCAAAACTGCTGGAATTTTACTAATTTTACCATTCAAATCAACGTCAAAATATCCCAATGAAAGCCTAGGTGAGCCAAGACAAAAATGCATGCCAAGGTCGACCCAATGTCAAGGTTTTGATCACTATTTTCTTCGATAATCGTAGCGTAGTGCATCAGGAGTTTTTGTCACATGGTCGTACGGTCAATAAGTAGTATTATCTTGAAGTTGTGCGCCGCTTAAGAGATGCAATACGAAAAAAACGTCTTGTATTGTGGAAAAACAATTCATGGCTGCTGTATTACGATAATGCACCAACTCACTCGTCATTGCTTGTTCGTAATTTTTTGCCACCGTATTCACCAGATTTGCCCCCCGCAACTTTTTTCTGTTCCCAATATAGAAAAGACCCATGAAAGGACGGCGTTTTGCAAAGATTGAGAGGTATGAACCGATTCGCTGAGACCTCAAGGTGCAGATCAGAACTTCTTCGGAAATTGGAAAAAAAGCAGGCACAAGTGTGTTATATCGGGGAAAGGCTACTTTGAAGGGGACAAAATAGAAATTGACGGATAAATAAACATTTTTTGAGAAAAATTATAATGGAACTTATATTTTGAACAGACCTCGTATATTGATTTTTTATCCGTCATGAAATCGTGATTGATGAAAATCTTTTTTTAATTTGTGGGAGTCATTATTTCCAACTCTCATTCCATCAAATTGAAACCACGAAACAATATATATTTTTGATAACATGAATAAAATGATTATTCACTTTTTTTCTACTTTTATAAACTCTGGTCTCTTCTATTCATCAGGTTTTCCAAGGACTATTTCTCAAGCCGAAGCACTATGGAAAGTGGAGAAATTGGACTTAGCAATAAATTTGGTTGTGCCATTCCAAGTTATCATCGACAGGGTGAAGGGAAGGTGGGTACATTTACCAAGTGGTCGAGTATACAATGAAGGATTCAATTCGCCAAAGGAAAAGGTAAGTAGAGATGTGTAGAACAAGGTTTAAAAGAACAAAACTTGCTCACAATTTGAATAAAATAGAATATAGAGCCTATAAAGGTTGCTGAAGTTTCGTCTTCAACTGAAGCAACTGAAGCAGGGAAAGTCATAGCCCTCTCATACCAACAAGCCATACTCTCTTTATTCTTCCATGCTAGCTTGTCTCCATGGTCATTGTTTCGTCATTTTGTTCAAGCGCCCATAGTAAGTTTGCAGTGAGTCTACCAGCTTTCCATTTTTCTCTAATAATTTTTCTTCAGCTGTATTTTGTGAAACTGATGTTTTCTATTCACGCATGCTTTCTTATTTCTTGATCCACTAGTTTAATTCATTGTTTTTCAGCGTTGTTTACCAGTAGCCCACTCCTGATGTTTGTAAGGTCGTTATTGTCTTGAAGCCTGTCTGTAGATGTAATCTAGCACAGCAAAATAATAATAAGAGACACCACGAGCATTCTGGAATAGTCAATAACGAAGGCATTATTGTTGCAGGTCGACGACATGTGTACTTGATGGAAAATACTCAGTCTTTTAGCAAAGATATCGTTCAAACCATTTTTTTTTTGAAAATAGTGAAGGATATTTTGACTTTTTTAATATTCAAGTTATGCCAAGCCTAACAACGCCATCCAGTTAGGTTTCTCCATAATAACTTCCTAAAAGGCTCTGTAGTGTATGACTTGTTTTAAAAACCACCTTCATACCTAGTTCCTTGAAAATCTTTCCAAAGCTATTCGTCTATTGGTGGTATGGAAGTGACATATATTCGTCTTGGTTTTCATCATTTTTAGAAGTCGAGATCTTGAGAAAACGTTACTAGCTGCTATTTTCTGTATTCTACGTTTTTCGGGTGTGAGAGGAAAAGTCAAAAGACGATTCATTAGAAAATTCAGCCCAGCACGTTCGTGCTGGGTTTGTGATGTGAACTGTCAGGAATAAACCTTTACGCTTTAAGCTTGTTTCTTTTCTAAATACATCGTATTCTAGACCTCCATAGAATGCGATGTATTTCAACTTCAGTAACTCGAAAATATCTTCCCGTAACCATTTTTTGTATGAATACTAAACAATACCAAATATAGTATGGAAGTGATTGAAGTTCCTGAATCAAAAATATTTAGTTTCCACCAAGAGCAGAGAATTTCTTTTCAAACATCTGATAAGTTGAAGATTTCATAATCTGTAGAATATTTCAAAAAAATCTATGGATGTCTCACATCTTTGATTACGTAATTGATTGGAATTTTTTCAGGGCAAAGACGATGCCACTGGTGAACCCTTAGTCCAGAGAGAAGATGACAAACCTGAAGTTGTACTGAAACGTTTAGAACTTTATGAGCGGATGACGAAACCTGTGATAGAGTTCTACAAGGACAAAAAAATTCTGAGAGATTTCCACGGAGAAACGTCCGACGAGATATGGCCGAAAGTTTTAGATTGCTTGGTGACCTATCTACCGCTGCATATAACTTCTGAGAAACAGAGATAATAAATAAACAAAAGCGTTTGTTATTGTTCACATGAATACTTATTACATGTATATTTCGAAAGGAAGGTCAAGTTTGTTGTTTTGTTCATATGGTGACACTCTTTTTTTATTTCTATTCACCATCATCTTCCTCTTCAAAATCTCCTTCAGAAATATTCCTTCCAACTCTCCAAATAATGTAAACTGCAATCTTTATTATAAACTGATCATATTATCACCGAAACCATCGTTAGGATTTTGACATGTTCTTATAATATGAAGAAAATGCAAGTTTTTAGTTGAATTCGAAATATTTCACACAATTTCATTACTTCAAAAATAATGAACAAAATTCATGCTTCGCTTAATTATGTATAGATATGCTAATGAATGGCAATTACGGCACTTTCTGGAGTAATCTAATCTGTATGTAACTGCTTCGTCACTGTTTCTTTGAAGGTGGTTGATAATGTTTCGTGGTGCATTTCATTAGTTCGGACTTCCATTGTCTAATATGATATAAATTTATTTGAAATCCCTGAAAGAATGTATGAAAAATTAAAAAGATTAGCTGAAAAATAACAATCATATCAAGCAAAACACCCGAAAAAGAAATTTAACCAATAATACGTGAAAATAAAAAATTATGAACAAGAAATGAAAATTGAAAGATTCAAAGCCAAGTTACTTCACGAAGTTTCGATTGTTAGTATCCACGATCGTCTTCGGGTGATAAATGGATCTGACTATTTATATGTCATTCGAGTGCTTTCACCTATCCCCCTTCCCTCTCCATTTCGAACCAGATTCAAATAAAAGGCAATTTCTGGAGATGGCTTGAATACAAAGCCGATTAATTCGTATGGTGAGTGGTCTTTCAGGTCAGATGGTAAGAGTACGGCTCTGCCGAACTCTAAAAACCTGATTCGGTCCCCAGCGGGGTAGGCACAAATTATATGCTGTGCTGTTTCATCATTAATGAGGTAGTCGAATAGTCAAGATGCAAGATTCCCACTTTGATACCCGCCACAACCTTCCCATATCAGGTTTTTGCACGTCAGCTACACCTGACGATGCCTTAGATTTAACCGTGCATGGCTTTTTGCCTCTGGTTTTGGTGAATCATCACTTGAGCGCAAACGTTTGCTGACCTGCTCACGGGGGGTTTGTTCCTCCACCTGAGACAGATTCTGTGTACGCAAGGCGGTTTCATAAGGTACCCCGCTCTTTAGGAGCGTTTCGGGGGCTGAAATGTGCTCCTGTCTTCGGAAGTGGTCAGAATTTGAGTTTATACACAGTTTTTCCTTGGCTGATTTTTTCTGTTTCCCAACTTTTTTGACAGGCCTGCTGAAAATAATCAGCGGAAAGAAAAAATATTGACAGACTTCTTTGGCATCTGCCAAAAAAGTTGAGAAATGAAAAGAATCAGCAAAGGAAAAACTATGTCTATATCTGAAGTCGAAAGAAGAGTTCAGCCTCCAAAACGTCAAAATAAGTATTGTATCATTTTTTAGCTCTTTTGATAGGCAAAAGTATCGAGTACGACAAGTTACTGAAAAATAACATTTTTCTTTATGGAAAATACTTAAATTTATGCAGTAACTCATCCAGGTAAACTGAAAAGTTTGCCCTTCCTACACGTTCCTCATTACAGTTTCCATATCCTTCAGATTGTGGAAGGTGAAAATGCCCAAATAAGGTCCATAAAAACTGTTTCTTCTACACAAAATAAATGTATTCGTTCAATATAATCAAAGATACTAAATTCATTTCTATTGTGCTCAGATCTTAAGATAGTCAGTAGAAAGAAAAAATATTAATATTCCACAGAGAATTTGAATAAAAAGTTGACGGTGATGAAATAAACACATACCTACATCTATGCATTTGTCACATGCGATCGATTTATTCAAGATTGGTATCTATTTGGCGATTTTCCAAATAAATGGCAATTCTGAGGTTTTTTCGAAAGAACTGCATTCGTCTGAAGTTTCCATTGTACACGTTTCACCGGAAATTTCGAAAATTTGGGTATAAATCAGATTTGCTCATTATGGGCACGCCACTGCCCTTGGTAATAGAAATTCATGTGGTGACAATATTGTCGAATAGATAAAGAAAAATTACTTCCTTTTGTTGATTTCTAAGCTGAAGTAATTTGAGGCCAACAATTTTGCATTTAACCCATTTTCGTGTTCAAACAATAATGGCGCTTGTTCTGAAAAAGCTATATCAGGGATATTTTTGGTTATCTCGTGATTTAGCAGGTAAGTTTGAAATTTATTGCAGCAATCAAACATAAAACGATCGAAACAAACTAAATACTTATTATCTTGTAGGCACACAAGCAGATACGTTACCCCGATTTGTATTTGCAAGTATCTGTGTATGATTCATAATTTTCTTTATATCTTCAGAATCTTATTTGATAATTCATGATACTACAAATGATGAAAAAATTCAAAGCATTATAAATGAAAATCAATTCATCATGGAGCGTAGGCTTTCATAGCCGGTGCCTAACAAATTGTTCGATGTTTCCGGGTTTATTAACCGTGGTCGACAAGTTTTCATACATTACGTTTCGTCTACTGCTGTGGTAGACATTATCAAGGGCGATGCAGCAACGGTCGAAGTGACCTACCGTGCTGCGCAAACAAAATGTACCAGTCCTTTTGATGTAATGAATGTTGGAGTCTGGCTCATTTACTTTTTCAACGTGTATTCGTCAGGAGGACGAAAGATTCATGATTCGAATTGTTTGCTACGGTATAAAGGTTCTTGACACCTCTTCTTGACAGGTGTATGATAAATTAACTGTTCACTTTCCATGGATGTAGTAGGGCCTTCACTCAACTGAGCGACGGGGCCCAGCTGAAAATGGTCCCTATGCGTTTGTATTTATAATGGAACTAAGTTTGGGATAGCCGACTGCTCTTATTTTTATTTCATTATCATACACAGGTTTTTCCCTTTCCACATATAAAATATAATACAGATAAATACTTATACTGAGTATAAACTGAAAATGAACAATTTGGCAGTTAAGTTAGGTTAGGTCCAACGTGAATTGGTCTATTTGACCCTCCACCGCAACCCGCAAGGGTTTAATGTATCTCACTACTATTCACACTCGACCAAATAAACCTAGCTTTTTAACGAAGTCGACTAGTTTGTGTGGTGAGTGGTCTTTCAGGTCAGAAGGTAAGAGTATGGCCTAACTCCAAAAGTCTGATTTAGTTTCCAGCGGGGCAGGCACAAGCACAAAGTATGTGCTCTGCTGTTTCATAATTCTCCAAACAAACAAACAAACACCGTTTTCCGAGAGTCCGAAACTTTGCATATGATGATTCAAAAGACAGGACCTGTAAGAAGGCCTGATAGACATCGTAGTTCAGCCCTACGTTAGTCCAATGATAACTATTGGGTAATGAGCGCCAAAGGGTGAATAAACGCCTCGAAGTGAGCTAATCCTGGAAGATTGTGCCAGAAGTCTATTCATCTTCTTGCTATCTAAGTGTACACTCTTTGTTTGGCAAAGCCTAAAGCGATGAACAATGACAGGTTCTGGTCCGATGAAGCTGCTTGCAGCACCATCCTTTACAAGGGAGTCAGCAGCCTCATTGCCTAGCAGGCCAATATAACAATAATCTATACCAGATTAAATCTGTTGGGTCTTTATATTGAGGAGAGTTGTTTTTGTCAATTTGATACCAATTTAGACATTGCTCGTTATGAGTAAAGAGCTTCCAACACCGCTTGACAGTCCGAGAATAATTTTACCGACTTGTATATGAGGTTGGATTCTTCCAATCTCTCCGCACACGATTCAATATCGTGAATTTACGCTTGAAATACAGTCGCATAGGTTCCTAGGCGGGTTGATATCTCTATTTTTGATCAATCTGTAAACCAACAACTTTCTGCTCTTGATAATTCCTTCTCCCGGAGAATCTACTTCTCTCTACAAAAAACAGTACTTCATAAGGCAGTTCGTAGTTGAGCGTTGGAAACATGAAGTCGGAGCTCATTTCCGGAATGCTGTGACTTCCAGTGTCAACCAACAGTTTGTTCCACTCTGCAATAAATTGATTTGTGCAATTGGCAATGTGCACAAGTCCATATACAGTCCATCCAGCCTCTCTCTTCAGAAGAATGTGAAAAGGAGGTAAATCTAGAAGGATATCTATGGCCGCTGATGGTGTGGTACTGACACTAATAGCCAGACAAGCCGGTCTCTGTAAGCCAGAGAGCTTCGCCTGGGCCGTTTTCTGGGAAGCCTTTGGAGATATTTCATCTCCATTCCAATTGGAATGAACTCACAATTGTGAGAAAGTGGCGTTAGAACGTCCTATTTTCTTCTCCTGGTGAAGGGGCAATACTACAGTAATACTGATTTTTTTTCAAACTGATTTTGAATGAACCTGATGTTTGTTCAGTGGATTCCAAATCTGTATTGCTAAATCCATTACCTAGTCTAACAAAACGTACTTGATTGGTCCGACCCTTCTTCAATTATTGGGAGAGTATTTGTATTATGAAGTGCCGGCATCCATGTCTTGTTGATGTTTGAGCTCTCTTCCTTATGATTGAGATTATTCTTATGTTCATGTATTTGAATGGCCTCGGATAGTAGCCTCTGGTTTCATAGAAAACTTGTGTGCATCCGAAGGCAATGTCATGGTTGCCCTTTGAGAGAGCGTCGACAGTCATCATCGTTTCTATCAGGCTGGAGCCTTGCTCCCTTACCCTTTGGACTGTTTATGAGAGAGCGTGTACTGCGGCAACTCCTTTCATACTCAGTCGAGCGTGTTTTGAAGCTTCATTTCGTGATTTCACGTGATTCCACGTATTTGGTATTCTCCTGCAGTACCAAATCGATCCTTGGGGTATTTTGCTGTCCTGAGACTATTCTCTATCTTTCTTGTGGGCTTCAAAATTGCTCTAATACCATGTTTTGCGAGGATCCTTCCAATTATGTCCGTCACACTGCTTATGTAGTTCACTCCAGTGTCACCATAGAGTGTTTTTGTATAGATCTGATGGCTCGATTGATTTCGGCCTCGTTATATCCGATACGCGAAAGCACATTCTTCAGATGACACATATCCTCTTGTAGCCCTGTCAGATCACAGACACGTATTGCTTTCTTTATCAGAGTCTCAATAACCCCTCTCTTTCCCGTGGGTTGGGCTACCTATCGGGCGCGTCCCCAGGTGGCGGATAGGTGAATAACCAGGGGACTGGAGGCCCTATCCAGGAAGCCACTGTGGCCTACAGACGGGGTTGCCGGACTCCTAATCAGTGACAGAAATGAGTATGGTGAGGGGAACTAAAACTCCCCAAAAGCCTTCGCAAAACATGCCACCGTGAACTATCCTTCCCAAGCTAAGGTGTAAGGAATCGTGCCGACAGCTGAATGGCCGCAGGGTGATATGCTGGTACGAACGATCTCCTTGGGAAACTGGGCGATTCTTCATTGTAATCAGCCTACCTCTGGTAATGCGAGGCTCTGCCACGAGTAGCAAGGCTCTTTCCATGCTACTCGTGGGAACACACATGCATGAAATAAACACAAAAATAAAAACAACAAAAACCAATCCCGAGGCTGAACAGAACAGTTCACCTCAATCTAAGGCGGTGGTTGGGGATGAATAAAAATGTCCACTCCAATCTACCGCTTGGAATGAGGCTGAACATAGCAGATCACCTCGTGATGTAATACAAAGGCCAAGGCGTGAGCGAATTTGTGGCCCCGAGGCCAAAAGGAGAAAGAGAGCGAAGGAGGCAGGAGTGGCAGCAACTATAAGTCCTCCTTCCTCACTCCACCTCCAACAGCAAGGGCATTTCCTGCGGCGAGCGCCAAGAGCTCCGCCTTGAATAAAGACAAGGAATCGGCCCCTGCAACAAATCTCTCTTACTTGTGCATCTCCACGTAGGGAACCCCAAGAAGGTTGAAGAAGCATCGTAACGACAGTAATGTCGCGGCACCTTCCAAAACTTTCGCAGAGGCCACCATGAGATACCTCAAGGTTGCCAATAAGAGTGTGTGTTCCACAAGTCTTGGCCTACTGCTGCCAATATTAAGGAGATGTATCTTAGTGACCTGTCCACCGTCCTGGAAAGGACAGGATGCACGATGATCTAGGAGGACAACTCCTCGGGAGGATGTACAATGGGTACAATGAACAATGGGTCTAAGTGCTGTAGGTCTTCTCCCACCCTCCCTACTCTACAGATACAAATAACCCCTCTCTTCTCACAATATCGTTCCCAACATCATATACACCCTGTGAAGTTGTAACATTCAAGAATATTAGTGGTATATGCTTTTCGATCAATTCCGATACCTCCATCGTTTTTAGTAAAAACCCAGTCTGACTTGACTGTGCTATTCAAATTTCATCTTCCTTAAGAATTCATCCGGGCTACTATCTACCAACTCCAACACATGAGGCTGGAAGGAGTTTTTTGTCACTTTTTTTATGGCGTACAAACATGAATCGGCTTTGCTGATGTGTTGAAAATATTATTGAAGCGCTCATTACGACTTGCAAGGCCTTGTTACACGCAGCGTAAGCTTCCTTTAGTTCACACACTGTACCGTTGTATCCATTCGGCTCTTGCGTATGACTTTTGCGTAAATCCTTCAAAATTACTATACAAAAGCGCTATAGAATCATCAATTCAGAAAAATCGTTTGTTGCATTATTCGAAACAGATCAAACTAATATGTTAGTAATTAAATAGACTATTCGATGTTCCGATATATAGAATGTTGTATAAATGTTTCAGTTTATGTATCAATTGATATTGGTATTCCAATGAAAGGTTTCAATACTAAGGATTTATACCATCGAAGTTGATATGAATTCATTTGCCATTTGGAAAAATCAGCATCTAGTTGAAAATGAAAGTATCAACCGGAAATATACAATATCCTGTACGAGTGACTATCAAAAATGTTGTTCATTAAACATGGACAGTAGAGTGCTTCGTTCGATTTTTATAAATTCTCAGGAAACCACCAGAACACATTTGATCGAACGAAAAAATGGTTTTGTTGGATGTCAAACCGACGTTTCCCTCACGTTTGAATTTTTCCTGAGTGGCCAAAGGAAAACTATGCACTCAATTTGTTAGAGGTAAACATTGATAAGTGTCAAACCATTACGTTCGCTAAAATCATAAGTCCAATATTCCTTGAATGTACATTGAAGAATGTAGCTCTTGAAAGAGAAACATTTATTCGCGATCTGAGAGTTGAATTTGATAGAGAAATTAATTTCAATCTTCAAGTATCAGATATTGTGGCAAAAAGTCTCAAAATGCTAGATTTTGTGTTGAGAATTTATACTAATTTGTCAGTTAAAACAAATAAGATTTTTTATTGTGCTTTCGTAAGATCCATTCTTGAATATTGTTCGGTTATATGGGACCCATACTACAAAGTAAATATCGGTTTGATTGAGACTGTTCAAGAGAAATTCTTAAGGTATTTAACAAAATGAATATGAGTAAAGTCAACTCTCCACCAAGTTAAATATAAAATCATTGGGAGATAGGAGAATTTCTATGAAGTTGAGTTTCCTCTTCAAATTCATAAATAGTAAGATGAACTGCCCAGAACTACTTCAACTGAAATAATTTTTTATATCAAACAGAAAGATGCGAAAAATCCAGACTTTTTTCATATAAATTGTTTCCATACCAATTATGCTTTGAACAGTTCGATGCCCCGTATTTTGAAGTAGGAAATCAATATCATAATAACTCAGATCTATTTAAAAAGGCTATAGCGTTTTCCAAGTTTTTCTTTACCTTACCATTTTGTAAGTACCAGATATCTTACATATTTTTTCTTGTAAGTACCAGAATTGTTTCATCTTTTAGTAATATAGTCACTAGACGTTTTTTGTTTTTTTTGGTACCTTGGGAGCTGTCTGACTTGTCCATTTAGTCCAAGTCTTCAAAAAACACTGCAGCCTCTTGGGCTTATTGCGTTTATTCTCCCATCTTCTCATGAGACCCATTCAATCAGTCTCGTTCCCTGTACTAGTTTGTACAGGTTCCTTGTTGGATGTTCGTCATATTCTTCTGGACGTAATTTCGTACGTCTATATATTGCCTGCCTCCTGTGATTCAGTGCCTCACATTCGCATAAGATGTGTAGAGCTGTTTCTATCCTTTCGTTGCATAATCTGCAGCTGAGGTCTCCGTTGAACAGCCACATTTTATTCAGATGTCCTCTCAGCGGGCAATGACCGGTTAGTAACTCTGTAATTATTCTTAGTCGATCCACACTATATTGAAATAGTTTTTCAGTTCTTTTCTCGCACGGTTCCCTAATGGAGGTTCTACTGTGTTTGTTGCCAGGTAATTTTGTCCTGTACTCTGTGTGCTTCTTATTGGTCCATGTCCTAATCTGGTTTCGTACCAATGATTTTGGTACCCCCAGAGCTGGTTCAGGACCGTGTCTAGAGCATTCATCAGCTTTATCATTACCTGTGATTCCTGAATACCCTGGCACCCAGTACAAAGTTGATTTGTTCCTGTTTGCAAGTTCATTCAATTCTTCATGGCATTCCCAGACCAGTTTTGATGTCACCTTCGGGTTTGTCAGAGCCCCTAGTGCGCTCTTGCTGTCTGTTAAAATATTGATCCGCTCATTTCTTTGAGGTTTTAATTCAATAAGCCTTGCACACTGCAAGATAGCATACACTTTCGCCTGAAAGACGGATGTGTATAGTCCTAGCGGATAACTAAAGTTCAAATTTCTATCTGCTCGGTATATTCCAGCTCCCGTTTCATGTTTGGTCTTCGATCCATCTGTATACCAGGTGTTTTTTCCAAACAAATTGTTGGGGCGACTCTTGGTCTTCCACTCTTTACGGCTGTAGTTCGGTGGGTTTTTCAGTCTGTATTGACCCATCCTGGCCTTCGACATTATCACAAAGTATAAAGGAGGTAGATTCAGAAGTGTCTCCAATGCAGCTGTTGGGGTAGTTCTCATTGCTCCCGTCATTCCCAAACATGCAAGTCTTTGCACCTTTCCTAGTTTGTTGATGGTTTTTTGCTGGTTTTAGCCCCCATGTTTTTCCATAGGTGCGTCTGGCGAGCATCAGTGCTACCTCCGCTTTCCTCTTTATCTTGTCCAAGTGTTGGTTCCAGGTCAGTTTGGAATCTAGAATTACTCCCAGATATTTAACCTTCCCCGACACTTGTATTTCTTGACCTCGAAGTTTCAGAAGTCCGAGACCCCCCGTTTTAGTCCTCTTGATGAATACTACTATGGTCGATTTGGATGGGCTTATGTTAAGCCCTTCTTCTTCGGTCCATCTTGTTATAATATTCAGGGCCTGCTGCATGTATCCCTTCACTACATTATTTTATTTACCCTGGACTAAGATGACTAAGTCGTCTGCATAGCACATGCTTTATACCCATTGTGGTCCAGGAGACATAATAGCTCCTCCATAACAAAGTTCCATAACAGAGGGGATATAAACCCCCCTGAGGACAGCCCCTTGCTACCCGTGCCACGACTGTTTCCCCCATAATGGTTGTATATACCAATCTTTTCCTAAGCATGCAGTCTATCCACCTGCAGCTTGTCTTGTCAATCTCTCATCTTCCTGATGCTTGGAAGATTTATTCTAACAACATAAGGATTTATTAATATTTTGTATTTCATACTTTGCTAAATGTTTTGTAAAATTGTAAACTGAAATGTAGACATCAGACATGAGCATTCAAAAATAATTTGTTGTTCCTCACACTTTGTTAAATGTGTTTTTATAAATTGGTTCTGCCGTTGAATGAATAAATGAATAATTCGCAGTCATGCTATATGCAACCTCGAGAAATATTTCATTAGTGGGATTCACCATTCATGCCACTTCTGTAATCAATATAACTGTTTTAGTGTCAGCCTGTTTCATATATTTTTCAGTTAACTTTCTTTTTCAGATCCCAGGAGCGATGATTTTATTATCTCTTCACCTCTGGCAGCGGTGGCATTAGTATTTTCATATGTATACGCAGTTAAATTTGTAGGACCGGAGTTAATGAGGAATAGGAAACCCTTCAATCTCAAAATACTTCTGATTTTATACAACGTACTGCAAATAGTAGCCAATTTTTACCTCATGTATGAGGTACGTGAACTAATTTCCACATCGATTTACTGCGGAACCTTCCAAACATTTTGATAGAGGATTTTATATAGGTTCCACCTGGGTACCAATTATATAAAGATAATGCAATTCGTATCATATTTTCGGAAAGTGAATACAGAATATGGTGGAAATTTTGACGAATACTATGAAAATTTGCACAAAAAATTGTATAACTATATACATGTCTGATTTGACAGGGGATGAGAGTATTTTCAGAAGTGATTAATGTTTTGGGAAAGAGGAGTTTTGACTTCATACTCTTCTATTTCTATACAAAAAATGTGGGACTCTTCCAAATGAAGAAAGAAAGAAAGTAAATAATATAAACTCTTTACAAAGAAGTGTAGATCATGCGAAGAATTAACACTCAACAACTAGTTTCACATCCATTATTGAACTACTCGAAAGAAAAAATACTTTCGAAACAACTACGTTTATATGGAATTAAATTATACAAAAATAGCTATGTATGACATGAGTGTTGAAATTAAGGTTTTATTTTGTGAAACGAACAAAATAAAACTTACTTTAAACACAAAGTTTTTTGTACAACTGTCCTGTTTTCTTAATGAAATAGATAAATTTATTATTTCTATAGAAACACATTTCAACATGTTATCACATTTGCTGTTAAGTGGTTGTGTCAGGTGACGCTCGTTAAAAATGTTGTTAATACAAGCAAATATTTCAAGGTAATAACATTCTTAAAGCGGAAAAATGAAACTCATATGCCAAAAAAAACAAAAACTCTTACGTTTGAATAAGTCCAGAGGTTTATAAATGAGGCGCCAGATGAAAAATATTTGACGATAAAAGTTGCTACTATTTTCGGAATATATGGAGCCTGCCAGCGTGAAGAGCTGTGCCATTTATTGATAGAAGACATTAAATTAACAAATAATTCATTTATTGTTCAAATTCCAAATACATAAACGAAAATAGTTCGTCTTCTTGCATTGTTGTAAAGAACTTTGACTATTTCAATAAATACCTTGCATTACGCCTTTCTGTTATCAATCATCAATGTTTATTCTGAAATACTCAAATTATAAATGCAGTGCCAACCCAGTTGGTGTGAACATGTTTGGGAAAATGCCCTCTACCATTGCTGAGTTTCTGAACCTCCCGGAACCGAAGGAAAATACAGGTCACTGTTTCAGAAGGTCTTCTGCTTATTTGCTTGCAGAATCAAGAGCAAATATAACGGATATTAAGCACGAAGAATGGATGTCTACGATAGTAGCTGAGGGCTAAATCAATCAACCTATTTCTTATAAAAAAGCTATTGTTGAAGGAATAATCCCAACAACTAGCTACAGCGTTACAGCATCGTCCACTTCACTTCAAGAATTGAATGTTAATGCCCATGAAATTGTCATTTCAGATAGTTCAAATATATTACAAGGTTCTTCAACATCGCAAAGTATTAATATCAGCAGTTGTTGTAATTGTACTTTTCATATTATTGTTCATAAATAATAATAATAATGTATTTAATGAATATAATACATTTGTAAAAAAATCATGTTAAAAATATTTTCAACGCACTACTTTGTAAACATCATCTTTCAATACTCTTGAAAACCATTAAAATGACACTTTCAATGAGAGTTGTACAATAAAAATTTTCCTATTCAGTTTGTTCTCCAAACATTCGTTATGGAATTGAATCAGACATCATCCACAGTATTGCAACACAATATAATATATGAAAGGTGAAATTTTACTTACATATAACACTGATATCCCCAATGGCGGACATCGATGTTTCGAAATATGATACTTGCTTCATTGCTGTTTTAGCACCAATCTGGATAATATTACAAGATGAAGCACTAAATTTATTCATAACATCATAACTTTATGTCACGATTGAGTTGAATCTACTCATGTTATTGATGACAGTACGTGATGGCATCTTGTTTAAATTGAAATGGGCATATCTTTAGTTGAGAATGATTTTTAGGAAAGGAAAGTTTTAAAAAAGTTGAAAATTATTTTCAGTTGAGTATTACTAATCGTCCAATTCGAATAAAATAATTTGAAGGTTTTGCAGTAGTTTTTAATTCAAAACACACTGGAAGTATTTTCGAATGTTTTCAAAACGTTTTTTCTCTGACAGTTACGAATTCAGTTTTTGATAGCTCGCCCTGTATTTCACAGACTACGATACTGATAATATGAAACTCTATATAATTACAGGGTGCATGTTCCTATAAGAAAATCGGGTGGTCTTGTGTTCCTGTTGACTACTCTCGAAGTTCTGTCGCAATGGCAGAATTGGGATCGGTTCGTAAATTCTTTTGGTTGAAAATGTTCGATTGGATAGATACGGTAAGGACAGTTCACGTCAATATTTTAAGAAAAAAGTAAAACGAAAAGTACACTATATTCCCACTTTCTTTCAGTTTGAACTCAACTGCCCTTGATCACAATTTACATTTGATTTCATTCTTTTCTTCAGATATTGAAAAGTTGAAATATCTATGAAAATTCGTCGTAAATCCGCCTAGTAATAGTCCTATGACATTTAGGTCAGCACATATTTGCCACTTCTACGTATTATAACTTATTGCATTTAGAATAAGTGACATACTTTCGTATGTTTCCTTCATGGCAACTGAATGTGCTAGATGAATAGGGAGTTTTTTGTTACCATTATGGAGCATAACGGCTTTCAAACTTGTTTTAGACGAATCTATAAATAAACGCCATTCGTCCGGATAACACACCATTTGGATTTACACACATTTTATCCTGCATAGTAAAAAACGAGGATAGCTCATGGTTACGGTTCCCAAATATTGTAACTTTGGTTTTAGTTGATTCCGTTGTTGAAATATAGACCCCAGTAGTTCTCTTTGGAGAAGTGGAGGTCTCGAACTATGTCATTTAATTCAGGTTGTTCGATCAAATGGGGTGTTCTTCTTTTACTCTCGGGAAAATAAGGACCGTCTTTTTCTGGAACATCATACAGGCAAAGCAGATTCGAATACTGGACAAAGCCGCTGTGTTGCCAGATTGCAAACAATTTCCTCCATTTAGGAGAAAAGCAAATTTGGAATGTCGTGTTCATTAAATTTTCGTGAAAAAAATCATAACACAAAAATCTTACGTGTTAGGAAATTTTTACTATCATTTTCGCATTCAACAAAGAACTGCCTCTAGTATTACAATCGTAAACTGGCTGTAAACTAGTGTATCAGCAAATAATACAGGTTGACGGTGGTAAGTTGAAAAAATAGAAGCAGCAATTGAGACGGTATCAAGTGCATTCGTTCAAATCCATATGACATCATATCTTTTCAAAACTTGCTTGGGTATCCTGCTGTGCCATAATTTGAATTTTTCTACTTGTACCCTTAATACTAGTCAATAACTACAATTGTTTTTCAGATATTTTTTGTTCTCCGTAAAAGCAATCGTCAAATTACCTTTTTGCATGTTTATCATCATGCAGGAATGGTATTACTGGGATGGATAGCTTTGAAATACCTTGGCGGAGGACACTCACTATTCGTTGTGTTACTCAATCTTCCTGTTCATGGTGTGATGTTCACTTATTATTTGCTGACTACGATCGACAGCAAGTGGAAGCAAAACATTTCAGTGAAACGGTTTTTAACTCAGATTCAAATGGTGAGTTCAAATGATTTATGACACTGCATTGAATTTATGATGGAATTACTTTAGTGATCGTGCTCAATTGCGTATTTGGAGTAGCTCAGGGGTCAACTCTTGGCCCATCACTATCTACGATGTATATTCTTGATTCTGGCATAAATATAAGTTCATAACCATAACCATAAAACATAACTATCCATCAGTATGCTGATGACACACAAACTTACTTTAGCTAGGATATCAAACGTAAACAGATCGCTCAAACAGCAGCATTTTCTAAATTGATCAAAATATCTTCGGTGGATCCCTTATAGGATTAAGGTTGCAATTTTGTTATGTGCTGTCAATAAGTGAATTGATTGAAACAAAAAAGACAGTTTTCAATAACTTCTCTATAAATTACTAAATATCCACTTTTATTATTTCAGGTCCAGTTTCTAGGTTTTATATTCATTTATGGACGGATATTATTTCAGTCAAATTGCCCATACCCAAAATTCTTATGTTCTTTATTCGTTGTCCAGAATATGTTCATGTTCATTCTTTTTGGAGATTTTTACCGAAAAACGTATACAGTGAAACCAAAACATCAGGAGAAACTAAAACAAAATTGAGGTATGGCGTGCATTCAGTTTGAAATGCCGAGTTTAATTATATTTATGATATTTCAGTGAGAAGTTTGAAGACAGAAATTCCAGTTTCAGAAGCAGCCAGTATTATACATATTGGAGAAATAGAAGCAAAATATTTTGATATATTTGTAAAATGTGATGATTCGTTATTAAATCAACTGATGAAAATGCCTTTTCATTTAATCATCAGAAGAGTGTTCAATTTCATTATTTTGCGTCATTATGGATGGGAAAAGGTACTAACCTCCGGTTAGGGTAACCTCACTTTGACGAAATGAGTTTTATAGACCTGAGAATCTTATCTTTCCACTGAGGTCATAAATGAGATGTCATAAACTGTTCATATTTCTATACTTTCGTTGAATGTCTCAGCTTTTTTTCTTTTCCTATCAATCTTCTCAGAAACATGTACTGATAATATATTTTCATCTTCGATGCATGTTTCAAAAACAAAAGTAATTGATGGCCTTCGCTTCACCCCAGAAGCAGTACCAGTGAATATAGTAAATAGAAAACAGTAGCATCCATAGTAGACCCCTCAGACACAATCAGGTAGAAGAAATAATCATATGATACCCTGCGATTGGAATAAGTAATATTTAGTAATATCTTTCAATTTCACGAAGTCTTCACTGGTCATGAGAGGATGACCACAGGGAGGGGTCTTATCACCCCTTCTCTGGAACATAGTTCTGGATACCCTAATTAATCACCTTAACAAAAATGGATTCTACACAATTGTATACTCAGATGAAATAGTTATCTTGCAGACCGGCAAATTTGTAAACACACTGTGCGATAGAGCGCAGGATGGGCTCAAATTAATAGAAACATGGTGTAAGGAACACTCACTGTCGATCAATCCCAAGAAGACTGAGATGGTCTTTTTCACCAGGAAAAAATGTTTAACGGGCTTAAAACCTCCAGAAATCTTCAAAAGCAAACTAAACTTCTCTGAAGAGGTGAAATACCTTGGTACTATCCTCGACAAAAAGCTAACATGGAACTCTCATCAACAGAGTAGAGCAAAAACAGCATACGTGGCTTATGAGCAATGTCGGAGGACAGTGGGACGCGCATGGGGTCTTTCACCCCGTGTGGTCACCTGGATCTACACTGCAATAATAAAACCTATGTTAACGTATGGAGCCATTGCATGGAGACCAAAAGTTGTACAAGCAACGGCCATCCAATAATTATATCAAATACAGCGACTGGCTTGTTAAAATATCACAGGAGCCATGAGAACAACACCAACCGCGGCAATGGAATCAATCACGGGTCTGACCCCTCTGGATCTGTACGTTAAGGAGGTTGCGTTAATGGCCATGGTACGATTGCGCACGGCTGGTGTAATCTTTGAAGTAGGAATGGGTCAATTGAGGCTGGGCAACAAGTGATGCAGTTGAACTCAGGTTTGTGTTTAATGAACCCTACAGAATACAAATTAAGCAGAACACAGAGTCAGATTCTGCAAATGCAATACGGATTTATACAGACGGCTCAAACATCAAAGAAGGCTCAGGATGTGGAGTGTACTCCAAGTCACTAAGCATAGGGATTAAGTGGGGAATGGGAAGGAATACCAGTATGGTCCAAACAGAACCGGCTGGTATCTCAATCGCCACAAAAGAAATAAGCAAGAAAGGAATTTCTGGCAACAACATAACAATCTGCACTGATAGCAGACAAGCAGTATTAGCCTTGAACAGACAGCGTGTTACCTCAGGAGTAGTACTAGAGTGCCACCAATATTTAGCCAAAGCCTCGGTAGATAATAACATTATCCTGAGGTGTGTTAAAGGGCACGACAGGAGTGAAGGTAATCGCATTGCTGACTCTTTAGCTAAGGAAGCGGCTGGACTGAGAATTTCAGGACCCAGTGGCACCCACGGCCTGATTACTTCGACAATTGCGGAACTAGTCAAATGTTGCACCCATGCTCAATCTTTAAAGAGATGAGATGGTATCAAAGGATCACCTTGAGCGACCTTGGGAAGCTGGCGCCGAAGAAATATCTAGCGATGACCAAGAAAAATCTACGCCTTACAGTAAGATTTCTGACTGGTCACTGTCAACTAAGTAAACACCTCCATAATATGGGGCTAGTGGACACACCTCTATCCTGAAATTTTATATGTATCAACGCATTCTCTCTAGCGTCACCTTTTAGGGAGCTTAGCATTCTGCTAGTAGAAAAAATACGGAGGATTCGTCCGTTTTTTCGATGAATCTTTTTTAAACACTTTCTGTTCCAATCACACAAATTTTACGAAAGAATTATATTGAAAATTTTTTGCCAAAAAAATTATCCTATCAAATTTGTCTATTCACAACTTCCTCAAGCACGTTATTTTAGGTAACATCCCTCCGCCTTCGACGTCGGGATGTTACCAAATAACGTGCTTTCGAAAACTGTGATAAAATTATTTCGTTAGTTATTAATTTCCTTGGGATATTATAGCTGATAATTATTTGATATTGTTTTTTCCCAGTATTCAATGAATGTGCAGTCTGAAACATACGGTTAAGTACAAGAAATTTTATTTATCGATTATCGGTGATGTTAATATGAAAAATGACGTAAAGTTTTCAATAACTTTCGGAGGTTATTGAAACAACAATAAAAGTGATAATTACCACTCGATATTCCTTGTACAAAAATGAACAGCGTGAATTTTTTTATCATTCTTACATACTTGAGAAAAGTGAGCAAACTATTAAAAAATCCAAAGGATTTGAAAAAAAAAATTAAGTTCCTTCAAAGCTGACTTTATCGTCATCTCTTTTTGTAAATGAAAATGAATAATTAGAAATATAGTCGCAGGGAATGAATATTTTATTGAAATCAATGAAACCTGTTAGTCGGATAATTCTTCAACAAAATGTTTGATTTCTAATTTTTATATCCAGCAACGTGAAAAAAATTAGCTCAAAATAGTCAAGAATCTATGTGTAGTCGATTTTCTGAAATAGTTTCATTCTCTTTCCAAACTTCTCATGATTTCTGAGCAAAAATATTAAGGTTGTATGCCTTATTTCAGTGGAATCAGTACCAAGTATGACCACAGTAGAATCTGCTCTGCTGATTCAGATGATCTTCCTGAAAATTAAAGAATGGTAAAATACTTGATCATAGTTTGGAATCTTCATATCACTATTCGTTAGCAAATATATGATACTGTGAAAACGAATTGCGTTAAAGATTGTGATTTCTCAGTAAGCAATTTCGTGAAAATTCACAAAACATGTCGATATCAAATCACTATCGTGGAAATTTCATGAATTTTCACTTGAATCTAATCAAATAACTTTCTAAAATGAACTACATAAAATATACAGATTTTCCAGGTTTTCTAGAAATTTTACTGTTTTCACATGACATGATATCAACGACAATGAAGTTATTTATCATTGAATACAGAAGAAAAAATGTATTATAAAGAAGATTGGACGTCATTCTTGGTAACGAGTTATGTCACATGGACATTTTCCAAGAAGAACGGTTTTGGCTTTCTACTTGCCCATCTTCAGGAAGGAAGCAATCAATTTCAAAAAATTAATTTTTTTCAGAGATGTGTAGTTCATCAAAAGAAGTGAATTTTAGACACAACCTGGAGGAAAAATCCTTCTTGGAACAGCTACTTTTCTAAAAATATACCCTTTTCAAATCAATTATATTTTTCAGTTCAAAAAATACTGGGAATTCAAACTTTTCATGTATACTTAACTCAACTTTGATGACTTATTTAATGTGGAAGAAAAAAAAGCTTCTCCATATGGAGAAACTAATTTAGGATTGAAGACTGAATAGCTTCTATCTTTGTTTTTGATATATGGTTTGTATATATGATTTGAAAATTTTTAAAAGACGTCTTCACATTAGCGAAATGATGAAATGATTGAATTTCTGTGGATTCCATTGTATTGAATGTTTTCTGTACACAAAACTTACCTTATGATTTCTCTTGTAGCAGTCCATATACATTCTCCTCGTATAGTTATTCTTAGTTGCAATATAGCATGGGAAGGAAATATTGGCAAATGTGGGGGTTTGGTATGTGATTTCTCTAGGCTCAGTGAAATATTTTGCTTTGCTGGATCTATCTTTGCAAGCATCTGCCTCATCGCTGTTTGTAGCCAAGAATAACAGATTGGTATTGGGTATTTTATCAATGACATATGGCCTGAAATAGAAAAATGGTATGTTTGGAGTATTCGATGAAGAGTCAGATCGAAATGACACAAGGATGATTTTATTCGTCTGTGAAGTTTTTCAGCATGCTTCTTCTTCCATAGTGTATAAATATTGAAAATTTGCTAAGAAAGGTATACAACAGTTTTAAATTACCCAAAGGTAGTAAGAAATCTTTATAATCATAAGAGATTCTTCAAGATGTATCTGTGGGAAGGGGGTGAGTGTAGGCCCACATCACTTAGGTCACATGTGACCCATTGTACATCCTCCCGAGGAGTTGTAATCCTAGTTCATTGTCCATCCTGTCCTTTCCAGGAGAGGTGGGAGACATCTCCTTTATATCGGCAGGTGTAGGTCAAGACTCGTCGAACACACACTCTCTTATTGACAATAACTCCGGAAACTCACATTGGACATGCCTGTCAGTTCCATCTTCCTTTTCAAATATCCTTCAAAAAAGGGCGTGTCTACCAGCTCCATATTATGGAGGCGTTTTCTTAGTTGACAGTGGCCAGTCAGAAATCCTATGGTTGAGCGTAGATTTTTCCTGGTCATCTCCAGATATTTCGTCAGCGCCAGCTTCCCAGGGTCGCCCAGGGCGATTCTTTGATTCCATCGTATCTCTTCAGAGCTTGAGCATTGTCGAAGTCATCAGGCCGTAGGTGCCACTGGGTCCTAAAATTATTAGTCCAGCCACTTCCTTGACTGAAGAGTCGGAAATGCAATTACCTTCACTCATATCGTGCCTTTCAATCCACCTCAGGATAGTGTTATTATCTTCCGAGGCTCTGACTGAATCTTGGTGGCACTCTAGTACTAGCTCTGAGGTGAAACGTCGTCTGTTCATGGCTAATAAGGCTTGTCTGCTATCAGTGCAGATTGTTATCTTTATGCCAGAAATTATTTTCCTGGTTATTTCTTTTGTGGCGATTAAGATACCAGCCAGTTGTGTTTGAACCACGCTAGTATTTTTCCCATTCCCCACCTAATCCTTGGGCTTAGTGATCTGGAGTACACTCCACATCCTGAGCTTTCTTTGGATTTTGAGCCGTCTGTATATATGCGTATTGCATTTATAGCATCTGATTCGTATTCTGTTTTATTGGTATTTTGTAGGGTTTATTGAACAAAAACCTGAGTTCAATTGGTCTTATTATTGCAGTGTAGATCCAGGTGACCACACGAGGTGAAAGACCAAATGCATGTCACACTGTCCTCCGACATTGCTTATAAGCCACATATGTTTTTTTTTGCACTACTCTGTAGGTGAGAGTTCCATATTAGCTTCCTGTCGAGGATAGTACCAAGGTATTTTACCTCTTCAAAGAAGATTAGTTTGCTTTTGAAGATTTCGGGAGGTTTTAAGCCCGATGAACTTATTTTCCTAGTGAAAAAGACCATCTCAATCTCCTTACACCATGTTTCTATCAATTTGAGCCCATTCTGCGCTCTATCTCACAGTGTGTTCACAAATTTGCCGATCTGCATAATATCTATGTCGTCTGCATGTGCAATTGTGTAGAATCCATTATTGTTGAGGTGATTAATCAGGATATCCAGAACTATGTTCCAAAGAAGGGGTGATAAAACCCCTCCCTGTAGCTCTACTAGAGAGCATCTTGAGTATCCATTCTCCCACTACATCTTTAAGACGTATATCCCAAAAAATATTTTCGGTGAAATTGCAAATTTTTTCCCACGATCATGATATTATTCACTTTACAATTCAAAGAATTTGTGAATTTCAATAATTTCATGTTAATTTCCAGAAAAGTTCTTTGAATAATTTTAGGGCAATTTCTGTGTTACCACTGGTTGGAGTTGATCGAATTTCTTGAGAGAAACATGTAATTCAATGGTTGGTTTAGATTTCAGAGGGCAAGAAATACAGAGGCAATAATTTTGAAAATCAAAACTGAAAACAAAGGAAGGAAAATAATTATGTTCAGTGATTTTAGACCTATACAAGGCAGGTTTCCATTAACCGTTAACCAGCTGTCATACCCCTACAAACGACAACCCTCAGAAGTCTTAGCTTGTGAGAGCTGAGGATTCACGAGGTCTCACCTTTTAACTTGTGATTCCTAACACAGGATGAAGTCCATCATAAAATTTGAATGTAAAAGCTTCGAAATGGTTTCAAAAACTTTCGGAAAACGGGCAACAAATGATGGAAATTGCGAGTAGTGGAAGCTTGAAACAATGTTTCTCCTACAGTTACTCCACGGAGCATATTCATTTCAACTTCTGAAAATTTCCATTTAATATACTATTGTAAATCATGCCCCAAAGAAAATAACGCCAGCCGTTACTGGTAACCATAAACCAGTTGTGACGTAGCTAAGAGCGCGCGAATGTACGATGTTCGCTGCTGCTCTAGATGACACGAGAATAATGCTGTTGTCTTCGATGGAATTCCGAGCAATGTTCCGGGGCCTTCGATTGACAAATATAAGTGTCATTCACTCGCACATCGAGTCAGTCAAGTGAAAATTACAGTGCGGTAGGCGAAGCGATCTAGTAAGGCGATAGATAGTCTCAGTTGGAGTGTTTGGTGTATTCAAAGTGAAATAAACTTAGGTTTGATTATTGTTCATTGTAGTCAATTATTGGTCAACCCACGGGGGAAAACGTAACAATACTTTACTCTGTTGTACTATTCAACTTTTCTATTGATCAAAACGGTGTTTATATTTGCCTTCACGTCTTCCACTGTATAAAACTCAGTTTCTTTCAATGCTTTCTCCGCTTTCGGAAAAATGAAATAATGACAAGCAGCTAGATCTAGTTAGCACAGTGAATAATCCATCATAGGGATTCCATGCTTGGCCAAAAAGAGATCAGTGCTGCTGTATGGACTGGAACATTGTCCCGATGAAACATCTACGAATTGCTCCTCCATAGCATTGGTCGATTTCTTTTCACTTTTTCATGGAGAGTAGCTGAAACCTTAAGATGATTTCTTTCATTCACCTATGAATTTCATGGATGTCGATAAAAACAATGGGGTTCTGTGAGTGAGTCATTTTCGATGCCATCTTTTGAAACCGTTTTTCATGACATACGTTCATCCCCATATACGTTTAATAAGAGAGAACAGATCTATATTGACAATTTTCCAATTTCCACTGGAAAGTTGACGTTATCACCCTGCTGACTTGGATTTATTTTCTACTTCACGATGGAGGGCAGATACAAAGTATAATACTCACAAAAGCTGTGGCACAAGTGAAAAAGCTAGTGAATGGAATTTGAAGGAGGTATGTCGGGCGACTTGGCAATATGGCATTTGACCTTGAGGCTAGAACCTAGTACTTGCAAGCGTAAGGATCGTCAAAATCGTAAGATTGAAAAACCATAAAGATCACAGGATCATAAAAATTGGAGAATCGTAAAAAGCATACGATCATAAAAAAGCATAAGAACCAACCACTTATATCATGAAAACAGAAATACATTTGATACAAGAAAGAGATAGTCTTCGATGTGTCTGGCTGCAGTGTGGCTATTACAAATTCCTCGATTTTTCTTTTTTGGTTTCTGGATCTATATCATTTCGATCAGAAGTTGTTAGGTTCATTGCATTGAACCCTGGAATAAGACCTTGTATTTCGTTATCAATCCTATTAAGGCCATAATTGGAAAGAGTAAATTATTCCAAAACATTGACATTCTAATTTTTTCATACCTCGATCATTTATTTTCAACAATGATTCAGAATTTTTTGGTAATCAATTCATTTCAAGGTTGGAGATGCAAAACCCTATTGATAATCTCAAGTAAACAATATTTCTTTTTCTACTGGTATTATGGAAGTGTCTTTTATCCTAGTATAACTCAGTTGGTCTACAGTGACAAGTGTAGAAAAGAGATACAGTATTCCTGGTAACTTCTGTAGATGGCGTCTAAATAATAGTTTTCAATTTGGTAATCCTTTTCAGCACTTATGACTGGATTTCCATAAAAATTAAGCATCGACCTGCGCATTTTCCTCTGCAAATCAAGATTTAGTGATTCCAACTGGGCACATGCACCACTTTCTTGTTCAATATCAAGAACCGAGTGGGTAACGTTACGTAAACCAGCCAGGGAGTATATAGAACATCACCATGCAATTCATCTGTGATTTCTCATTAAAAATTACTGATGTTTTTGAAGAGAGCTAGTTTCAACAAGATGGCTACTGTTAACTGAATTATCATGGAAAAATGCATAGTAAAACCGTACTTACCAACTACATACAAACTTGATGCCTGTCCTGAAGGGACTCGTAGGAAACTTCTGGTGTTTATTCACGTTGAACAGATATCTTTCCTGGTCGCATGGGGTCGGTACTGTTTTCACAATCTCTAGTTTATTGAAAGCTATCATGTCTGGTTTGTTACTTATATATCTGGTATCATCAGATACTACCAAATTTATGAAAAACAAAACCAAGTTCACCAACCAATTTTTCACAGAGGCAAAATGGTCCAGTACCTGAGAACATATTGAATTGTGCAAATGATTGGTAACAGACAATTTTAAAAATACTCACGATAAACACAGTGGAAGCTGTAGTGGGTTTGGATGTAGCAGCGCTTCTAGCGGCTGCCTCTTTCGCTGCTTTTTTTGCAGCAGCCAAATTTTCAGCTGCTTTTTGCTTTCTCTTCAGTACTCTTTCCTCTTCGGGCAAAGGCTCGGGAGGTTCTTTTTGACAGATAGCTTGATAATCAAACATTCTTGTAGTGATGTAGACGCCATCTTCTATCAAATCATTCATGATGTCTGGTCTTATGTCTCCTAGATATCGACCTATGTACTCTGGTTCGTCGCTGAGAACAATGTAGGCATTGTTATCCAGTATGTAACAGTCTAACTCCTCCTGCTTGCATGTTATCCTGCATTTTTCATCACTTCCACACTGGAATTTAGTGAAAGGATCGTAATCTGAAGAAATCGTATCAGTTTTTTTGGCAAGCAAGTGACTTGAATTTATAGCAGTATGATGAATTTTCGTGACTCTCGACCGACGTACTTTTTCTTTCCAGATGAAATGATCAGATAGTTGAATTATTTAAGAAATTATAATAGTAGAAAAAAAATTCAATATGCTTTCATTTGCATTCATTTTTTTTATAGTTTTTCAATTTCCACAACTACACAAACAGTCTTATGCTTCTTCCATAAGTTTTTTGAAGTAGTTCAGAAACAAATCGTTCACCAAATTGTATAAGATCTATACTGAATCAGTGAATCACTTTTTCCTGTTATTATCAGTGATAACTCTAATATAGTTATTAAACTGCGAAAACGGACAATTTTTTACCTTCCATACGGAAATTTATAAAAAGGAAAGCTACATGAATTTTATTTATTTGAAAGATGTTTGAGGATGATTTATAAGGAAATGGTGTTTAGGAAAACCATCAGCGTTAACTACGTGAGACATCATTATTCATAAATAATTCCAATCTGTCTTCTAAATCTACAAATAATGATGTTTGGCTTCAATTTCTTCTTAATATCACAAAGAAAATTTGATCTGTACCATAAAATGTTATCTGTTGCAGTAGGAATAGTAGCTATTTGGGGAGGTATTCAGGGATGCCAAATTCGCACATTGTTTCTTTCCGTCAGCTAACATTTCCAAGCTGCAGTATTGCCAACTTTCATATTTGTTCCTCTCAAAATCACCCATAACCATGAAAAAATATCACAAAAAATGAAGAGTGATTATGTTGATTCTCCTACAAGTCCTCAACAATTTCATCAAAAGATGATTGATCGTATAAAGAACCTCATTACATATATCCTTGAAGACATACAATCTTTCAAACTTGTACTAATATAAATCATATTCAAATATCACCTGTTTCCTACCTTTGTAGTTATCTCATTGTATATTTCATACATTTCTCTATGATTGAACTGCAAACCAACAACTGCCACTGGAGTCTTCAATTTTCCTTTTGAAGCAAAAATTGCTTTCGTGCTGGAAATCATCGTATTGTTTTCATATCCTGGAAGAAGTTATTCATATTTTCATATATAACATACACTGTATATCATGTAGTGGAAAAGTAAAGCTATATAGGGTGTAACTAAATAAGTGTAAAACATTTGAGAAGGTGATTCCTCATCGAAAAACAGATAGGATCTGGAATACTCCCTCCCGAAGAAGCTATCAAAGATCCAGGGGTGACGTTCGACAGCAGATTAATTATTAATTAATTTCGATTCACTGAAGACCATATTATCCAAAATTGAACAAACCATCATCTAGCTTACTGTCTTCATTTCATGTTATTTACAAATGATAATCAATTAATATGTCATCTTTTTTTTCTTAGTTCAATCATATATGTGAATCTATTCCTCAAAATTGTCAAATACATAATATGTCAATATTTTGTTATATAATATATATAGTTTAAGTAGCCTTTATTTATACTGCATTATTATATTATATATTGTTCTCTAAATGGAATAATCTGTTGGGAAATACATTTTGTTTTTCTTTCTTTCCACAATGTTTACAAACGTTTACAAATTACTCACCAGAAGTTTCGAACGGCACAGAGTAAATGAATATATCTTCATTCTCAAAATTCAGTTCCACAGCCCTTCTATACCAATCCTCATCGATGGCTCTGTTGTTCATCTTAGCAAAGCTGTCTTTATCGGTTTCTTGGATGTGGTCTTTATCTACGAAATTCCTCCACCTCGTCAAGCCTGAATAGGTGGCCAAGAACACTTTGTGTACTTGATAATCCAAGATGTATTTGTCATCTTCTCTTTTGTCAATTCCTCCATAGTCGTCAAACCATTTTGTTACTTCCATATCGTAGTATAAAGATTTCAGGAGTTCTGCTACAAAAATGAATCATCTCATCACAAGTGGTCAACACTATATTTTTTCCCATGTGAGTAATCGAGGTTATGTAGTTAGAAAGTTGAATTTTTCAAGTATGATATTTGAAGGTTACTCGGAAACTTTGAAATATTCAACTTGGAATGGTATCGCACATCAAGAAGGAAGAGAGTTTCAAATGATGATACTTTCTTTCAATACAGTTTGGTGCAAATTCAGTACTGCTGCTTTCAATAAAGTTACACATACTTTCACAAAATAGTAGCACTTTAACTCTGATTGATGATGCAAAAAAAATTGAGATGACATATTTGAAATTTTGAGTGAAATGGCTTCTTGTAATGGAAAATCTGTAATTAATTTTGTTTTGGCTCTGAATTGTCATCGATATAGTCAATTGAAACAAAAATGAAATCTGTACAGAACATTGAAGGGGCCCAAGGGAACCACCCCTTGAAAGAATTTTGGGTTCATCTGGACTTGTCAAATACTTCTCAGCACGAGCTTTCAGGTGAGGAGTTTCTAATTTCTTCTCCATTCTGTTCTTTGAATATCCCTGCTGAACAGTCGGGAGTCAGGTGACCTGAAACGCCATTAAATAAAACCATGCATTTCTCCTGATGGATCACTGAATTTTAGATTAGCATTTCAAATGGAATTGAAGTAAAAAGTCATCTCAGCAACATCAAGAAGTCATCAGTGAGTTGTTTCTTGTTTTATTTGTTCATGATTTATATCAGAACGAGTGCTGAGAAAATAATCTCCGCTTGTGACTTCCATTGGTGGTTAAATTATATCCAATTTCAGCCATTCTTTCTTGAGTTAGAAGCCTCACCGATTCAGTGATCAAAGAACGAGACAGGATCTTATTTGAAAGAATGACGCAATTCAGTAGCTTACAGTATCTGTTCAGATACTCACATTTTTAAAATACAGTTGAAAAACCTTTCAGTAACAAGGAATTGTTGTCCAAAACTGGAAAAAAAATTATCAATATGATCAATAGAACAACTGGAGTCCCACAAGTTGAACTGGAGTCAGATAGGAGTCAGTATCAGGAAGTTACATCAGCATTGTTGTACTCTATACGCTCTTTACAGAAAGGAAGCCGAGGAAAACTTGATACATAATTACTAAATTCTAGACAACTGGTAAGATCTAGAAATATTCAAGCATAAAACGGTTTCAACAGGTACGATACTCCTAACCTAAATATAACATCCACTTTGGCACTAAGCTTCTATTATATTTGTTTTGAAAGTTTTTGAATGATGAATGTTTCAAATCACCCTCCTTCAGTTATTTCAGATGTTTCTAGATACTGAATAACTTGCCACTGAAGCCCTCAAAAACTGTATAGGTATCAGTAAGTCATAAATCGAGTATTGCATTTGTAGTAAGCAAAATGAATATATCAAGAACTTACATTTCTCGTTACTGCTGAAAGCGTCTCTTATTTTATCTTCAGGAGTAGAACCTCTACACCGTTTGCAGTATACCCTGTAATAAGGTGAATATTATGATGTTTAGTTGACGAACATAAGCAATATTGTTATTATCACAGTCGAAATATTGTAATTCCTTGCAAACATCTGTGAAGTTTCTTATGATTTGTATATTTCAACATTGAGTTTTCAATTGAAAAGACATTCGTTCTGACGTTTCTTGATTGGTTTCAATGAGAGGAATGTGTGACAATTTTCCATAGTGATATTAGATATTGAATTTTGAAATATATTTTTGGGAAAAAAGTTTTTGGCTTTCTACTACTCCATCTTGATACAAAAAAAAGAAGTATGAGGGAGTCTTCCAAAGAAAGGAAGGAAGTAACTCTATACATGGATGTGTGGATCATGCAATATACTGATGGAAAATAAATCATTTCAAAGTATTTCAGTGGTACAACATTTTTTATTCTGAATGAAATTCCAATTGTTCCAGTAAGTTGTCTCCATGATACATTTTCATTCAGAATAATACCAAGAAATTCAGCATTGAGAAAGTATTTGATAGTTTCACTATGGAATTTAATCGGATCTGGAATATTTCAATCGATTATTTTTGAAGTCATTTGATTTCCGGTGGTATTTGGAGTGACTTCAGATGAAATGCAAAATTGTAAACATCAAGTACACACATTTAATGAATATCGAGAATTGTGAAATTGCTGTGACTTGAAAGATTCATTATGAATCTCAATGCAAAATGGAAATTGACAGATACTAAGTCATTATAGTTATTTATGTATCAAGGGAATTAGGAGGGCCTTAATTACCGATGGCAAAGTTTGCGTCCCGAGGGCCTCTGGCCCGAGGGACAACAATTGCCTGAGGTTATTTAGGCTCATTAATTCCCGTGGTACATAGATAATTTTATTTCTGACCGATTTCAATAAAATTTTGTTCATTTTTGAAACGGAAAAATGTACCAATTCATTACCTTCCCGGTATATTTGAATCAGGTACCGTTGATTATAGTAGAGTTTTCTTGTTGCTAGGTTGTTGCTATGTTACTTGTTTATAAACAGAACTTTGTTATCAAGCTGTGTTTGCGGTGAAAACGTGTTTTCTACCCCAAATATAATGGAGGATATTTTGAAAAAAGCTGAACAAGCAAGAGAATCATTAATTCCATCGAAAAGTGAAGCCGTATACCAAAAAGAATACAAGATATATCTGGACTGGCTGACACGGAAAAATGTTATGCCAAAAGATGTCACTGAAACTGTATTTCTGGCATATTTTCAAGAACTGTTAAGGAATTTTCTATGTTTTTCGGTAGATTTGGTAGTAATTGTGTTTATTCGTTTCAGTCAGAAACGTATAGTCCGAATTCTTTATGGACTAAATGGTCAATGCTGAAATCGATGGTGACTATACATGAGAAACGAGATATCACCAAGTTCAATGAACTACAGGCTTTTTTGAAACGGAAGAGTAAGAGTTATAAGCCGAAAAAGTCTGCTGTTTTATCTCCTAAAGATGTAAGTGGAAGTTACAGTGGCGGAAGTAATTTTCAGGGAACATTTCAAAATTGTTCATTTATTATTTGTAATGACGTGAATAAATAAAATATGGTTCAGTTTTCATTTCTATTTATTTTTACTTGTGAAAGGTAGAGGAAATTATAAAATCTATAATCTCCCAAGGGAGTTATGACCCTCTTTATTGATAGCGTAACTATGACGATATAAGCTTATAATATCCCGGTCAGAAATAAATTTATTTATTTTGTTTTGTCAATGAATTTATCATTTTATATTTACCAATCTGGATGTGCTTTCCATAAAGACGATGTAAGTAGATATGAAGTTGACTCCACTGGAGGATATTCGAGTTTTGACTTAATGACGATGTCGAATCCATATTTGTCTGGAAGAACCACCCCCAGAGTGAAAGGACCAATCGGAGAAAAATAATAATGCCTTTTTGCTAACATGACGCGTCTCTAAAATAATAACTGTTATGAAGATTTGAAAATGTTCACTTATTATATGTTAAAAAAGTAAAATGGGTGACAAATGATTCATTAAGCAACAAAAAAGTTGGTTTAGTCGTAAACAAACTCGGGATATAATGCAAATCCAAAACTTAAAGGAAAATTCACAACAAAAAGATATCCATCATTAGAACCAGGTGGAATAGAAAAAATGTAACAGCGAAATCAATGAATCACATTTTTCATTCTACTCGCAATTTGCTATTCCTATAATATATGAACATTGGGATTCCAAAACAATACTTACATTGTCGTGGAGAGGATATTTCACGTCAAATGTTACAGTAGCACTTTCATTCTGGTTGACAAGCTTTTCTCTGAACTGCAACAGAATTTCGTTGAGAATGTTATGCGATCTACTGATAATTACTGAAATAAAACAATTCATAAACTAGAATTTATTTGAAAAATGTTTTCTATCACAAGGTTTTTTCACAAATGCCACGAAATTTGGCATCTCTCCAATTAGTAATTTCTAGGCGGCTCTCACATTAAGCAAGCAATTTCCGGAGTTTCATGTATTTCAAATGAATTTTATTTGCATTATTACTATAACACTTACCAATCAACTGATGACTTGATATATAGAGTAGTTAGAAAAATAAACCAATGGTGTTGAGTGCAACCAAAAAAAGCTCTCATTCAATAATCTGACGATTCCGATCTGAACTCGCAGTAATTATTATAATATGCAAAAATATTCGCCATTTTAAAATACTCAAGCGCGTCAGATTGAGATAAATATGGTTCATCTTTATGTTTTAGACGTGCTGTCTCATAATTTGACGATTATCTAAAGGGATTCACTTAATATGACAAAAACAATATTTTTTATGATTTTTTTTCAATTCATTGAACTTAATTAATTGAAAAGCTCAGGAAAGAGCATGCAAATAAATAAGTGTATGTTTTTTAAGTAGAATACTTGTATTTATGAGAAAATTATTTTAAGAAAACGCTCAAAAAAATTTAATTTGTTATAATCGACTGATTTATTAATGAGGAAAAAAGAAATGAAACATTCTTTGTTTTTTATCACTTTCATTTGTAACTAACGTTACTGCAGTTTCGCCCTATGAGGACATTTTCAAACTTATATATTATATATTGTTTGAAAATGTCCCTATATATTGTATAAGTTTGAAAATGTCCTTATAGGACGAAACTGCAGTAACGTTAGTTACAAATAAAAGTGGTAAAAAACATAGAAAGTTTAATTTCTCTTTTCTTCATTATCATTTCCTACCACGTAGTAACGGCTTCATCCATCAATTAATTGATTAATTAATCATCATCTTCATCACGAACGAGTCTCTGTGATCAGCTGTGATGGCGTCATGGCAACAGAATTCAGAGTAGGGACGGAGTGAGAGAGTAATAGATAGAGAAAAAGTGAATAAAGAATAGAAGAATAGAAGAATAGAATGAATAGAATGAATAGGAATAGAATGTATCACACAGCTACACGCATTAAACTCCATCGAAGAATTTTTGCGGAAATCGTCAGATTATACATTTTTCGTTTTCCTTGAATTATTTCCTTCAAAATAAAACAAAAAAAAGACTAAAAGACTAAGACTAAAAGACTGAAAGACTAAAAGACTAAGACTAAAAGACTTAAAGACTAAAAACCTTAAAAGACTAAAAAACAAAAATACTAAAATACTGAAAGACTAAAGTACTAAAAGACTAAAAGACTGAAAGACTGAAAGACTGAAAGACTAAAAGACTAAAAAACTAAAAGACTGAAAGACTAAAAGGCTAAAAGACTAGAAGACTGAAAGAGCAAAAGACTGAAAGATATAAGTGAGATATAAGTGAGCGGATATAAACGCAGTAGTGGACCAGTGAACTATAGAAGTACGTTCACACTCGTCAGCAGAATAACCTCTCTTAGGTTAGATCTGAGTTTTGAATATGATACCTCGAAGATACCAAACTTAATGATATTTGCGTATTTATTATACTTTGAGCAAATTCTGTCAATGGGGGATTTATGTTGATTGACATGAAAAGTAGTTTGTCGCGGACGAATACCTGGCAGCGGAACATAAAAGCAGATTTGACTGGTGAGAAAGATGCTATCTACATGGTCATTCAAAATTTTTCCTAAGAATGTATACTCTTTATAACTCTTCTGTTTTCCAGTAATACTATGTGGAATTCATCTCTGATCGGTCCATACGATATGAAACCTGGCGAATGTCCGTATTTTTCAAAATACAAACTATTTCAAAAATGTATTTTGTATTGTTTCTAGGATCTGCTTTGATTTTTTCTGGTTTGATTTCCATATAATACTTGCATATTCTTTTACTTCGAATAATTGTATTAAACAAATATTCTATACTGTTTATGTTTTTGAATTCGCAAGTGGTACGTTTTAAAAACCTTAGTCTTTTATTAGCTTCATTAGTAATACTTTGAATATGCCGGTTGAATTTCAGGTCACTTTGGAAAAGGAACGCGAGGTCACGTATTTCTTGAACTCTTTTCAAAACTGTATTCTGCATTATAGGTATTTAAATTTATATACATATATCTCAGTTTTTTGTCATATTATTTAGATGTTTGTTCCACTTCAAGTTACTCTCAAGCGTATAAATATTTAACTGTGTTGGTTGATTTGAGTTGTACTCTATCATCTGATATTCGAACATCTATAGATGAATAGTTGTGTAGATTTGATTCGTAGCTTATGAAAGGTGTGTACATGGTTTTCTGTGGATTCACTGTGAGTAGTTCACTACTGAAATATTCCATGATTACTGGGAATGAAGATGTCACTTGTTCTTTCAAGATATCCCAATTCTTTTCTTTGAAGACGAACACAGTATCAACAGCAAAACAGTTTATCTCAGCAAGAATAGGTAGGTCGAATAGAGAATTGATATGAATAATGAACAAAATTGGACCGAGAACGGTTCCCTTGGGAACCTCATATCTTATAGTTCTGTCAGTACTCATTACATCATAAATACTTACGCATTGTTTTCGGTCTTCAAGATAGCTTTTCATCGATAGAAGTGTTCAATGTTCTCGAGGGTTTCTAGAAAATATAGATGGCTGACAGTATCAAACGCTTGTGCGAAATCAACGGATAGACAAATGGCGGGCTCCTTCGAATCTGAAGCATTTCTCGTAGATTTTAGAGATATCTGAGAGAATTTTAAGGATTCAGGAAATATTCCATTCTCGAAAGATTTGTTTATTACGTATGTGAGGGGTTGAGCAAGACTATATAAACATTCTTTGATTGTGCTCGATCCAATTTCATCCATCCCTGGTGCCTTGTTTGATTTCAATTCTTTGATGAATTCAATCACTTCGTACTCCTCCGCAGAATATTTCCGACTCACTAGATATTTATTGTTATATCATGAATAAAGTCACATAAAACCTATGAGAATTGGCGCCTATATGTTATTTTTATGTATAAACTGTGTTTATGCAAAGTTTCATTTAAATCCGTTCAGTCGTTTAGGCGTGAAAGAGCCACAAACATACATAAATTCATCTTCATAAACTTTCACATCCATAATATTAGTATAGACTTATATGGACACTGAATATGTACCTTCACTATAGAATCTCCAAATATCCGTGGTTCATTTTGATCATTCAATATTTCTACCTCCAATATGTCCACCCTGTTGAAGGTTGGTTTGAGAATGTTCTGGAACTGAGAACAAAAACAATAAAAACTCTTATATTTTATTAACCAGAATAGTCAGAATAGTGCTTCTGAGAAAAACAAACACGATTGGTAAGTATACTTTTTCAACATTCTTAGCAATTGTGTTTGTTATCATTACCATTTTGCCAATATTAATATATTCATGATATGGGACATCAAATTTCAAAGTTATGTTTCATTTTCTGGATAAGTCAGCGACAGAGCTAAAAAGAAAAATTTAAATGTAATGCAAACTTGTAATTCGTTGATTGGATACTTTGGAAATAAGGGTACCAAAAAGTAAAACGGAAGTAATTTTTTTTCATTTTGGCAAACTGATCACTACAGAAATCGTAAACAAAACCTTTTTTAACAAAATTTCCCGATGAATGTTTTTGTTGTATTCTGTTGTTACCTCTGCTCGGTGGTCTGGATGGAACAAAACATATCCATTATTTGTGACGATGAAAGCATATCCATTCACACCCAGCTGAAAAAAAAAATGAACACTGTAGAAATCATTTATAATACATAAGGTGATAACGTTTGAATTCATAAGACTAATTAATATAAAAGAACAAAACCAATTGGACAAAAGTCTTTTTTGGAATTGAAAACTTCTTATGGGAGGTATATGATGGAATTGTCGTTTCGAAAAAACACTTTATTGTGATATTTTCACTAAGCAGTTTTACAAAAACGAAACACGTGTTTCGACATACAATGGCTTTTTCGGGAGTGTCTTTAGTGAAAACACGCCCGGGCGTGTCAGTCCGAGGTAGTGTCCATCATCAACATGAATTCGACTGATAGGTGTCGATCTATTAACCTACATTGTAAGTGTGTTGAGACTAGCCTAAACGAATTGTTCTTTTGGATAATTTGATTTATAGGCAGTCTTCAACTATGCCCCCTCACTATAAATGAGGTTTTTTCCTTAAACGAGGAATTGGGAGATTCGGATATGCGGTTGGTTACCTCGTTCACGGGCAGATGGGGCGATGAAAAATATGTTGTTTGTCGTTCTCTTCAGCTCAGTTTGAGGATTGAAAATCTGAAAGGAGTTCGATTTTAGAATATGTAATATCATAGACTTCATGTTGATGATGGACACCACCTTGATCTGACGAGTGGCCAAATAGATTGAAACCGGTCTGCAAGTGTGTTCCAATAATTGAAAATCGATTCTAGTAGTTGGATTGCCAACAGCATATGCAGGAATCACGTCTGTGAAGAATTCTGCACTGACACCTGTCGGATATAATCCAATGCCCTTTGTGGTATTAGCCAGGGGAGTAGTTGTTTTCTGAAAGGTGTCAGTCCATTAACTTTCAGTGTAGGTGGGTTGAGATTGGCTTGGATGAGTTGTTGTTTGAGATAATTTGATTTACAGTCTGTCTTCAAGTATGCCTCCTTACTATATGTGATATTTTTTGAATTTAAAAAGTGACTCACAGGGTTACCAGAAAAGTTTCTTTTTTTCTGCACCGGTATAGAGTTCTCCATTACAATCCGATCTGATATGAAACAAGTGTTTATATGTACATTGTGCAGAAGACTTTTAGAATTTTTAATATTACAAAGATCTAGTATGGATATCATTTCTCTTATGTTTTTTACTGGATATAAAACTACATTGAAGATGATGCTCGCATGACAAAATATATCTTCAAATGAGAAACATCCGCCTTATTTGCCTATATTTTGAGGGTTCACAAACTTTCGTGATTTTCTGTCTACCAGATGATTTTTCTCATTTCTCGAATTATTGAGAGTTTTACTGAATACACCTGAAAGGTCTAAGTTAAGTTAGGTTGGATTAGTCGAGGATTCATAAGGTGCAGATTTATAAGCCACGGTGATTGAGACATATCTAAAACATATCTAAAGAACCTATTATAGTGGTACCATACGACATTTAGACAATATTTTTTTGACTGTGATGTCCAGGAGAATATGAATCTCCGCTGTTGAAATGTTTACCTTCGAACAAGGAAGATTTATGCGATACCACGACCAGTTGTGCTGAGTTTATCGGATAAAAAATTCAGTAAGTGTAAAGTAGCCATAATAAACCCTTGCGGGTTGCGGTGGAGGGTCGAATAAACCCACTCACTTTTATCCTGACCTGAGCGTCAAGAAGCACAAGTCTAATTTGTATTACGAGTATTATTCACAGTAGAGTAGTGTGTTGTCCTGAATGACACTCGATCGTGAATGGAGAATCTCAGTTTAACCCAATGAGCTTTTCGAGATACTCACCCGCTCGAACGGAATCAATGCTTTGAAAAGATGAAGTGGAACGTCAACTCCGGCTACCCCGACAAGCTCATACTGAAACGAAAAATGTATAGTATAAAACATATTGAAATTGAAAAAAAATTTGAGACGTTCAGTTTGTTGGGTTATTTCGGTTGTCAGAATGTGAGGAAAGAAAATTGAGCTATGACAGTTGTAACGGTTTGCGCATGGATATTTCTTTTTTTTAATAATAGAAGTGAAATTAGTTTTATCCAACACGATGCTGCGAGCAAGAAGATCAAATCTTTCTCAACAGAACCATGATGCAAGTAGACTACGGAATTCTGTAAATCAATCCTTTGTAGATGAGAAATAGTTCGCATGAAAGAAGCACCGTGTTCAATGTTGCCATCAGGTCTAGAGTTTTCGCCAGATCTCCTGTTCAAAATCTTGATCTACTTTTCCACTATTCCAAAGTCAACATCTTGTTGAACCAATTTATTCTCAATAATATTTTACTATCTCTTCGACAAAAAAATCGACAGCTGAGGATGAAAATTTCGTAACAAAACAGGATATGTTGCTATGACCCAACTTCACAAACACAATATAAAGAAGTTAATTCACAGATGATATCATAATACATAAGATATCATCGAAATTTCTTATTCGTTTGAAAAACCTATTGATGCTATAACGCCAATTGAACATTGTTCAAATATACGCCAAATATACGCCACGGCTTATTTGAGTGAAGTGCACCCGGAAATTCCAATTTTAGATGACCCTGGCGCATAAATCAGGCTGAATTTGACTGACGGCACGGGATATGTTTGCTTTGAGGACCAATGTTCTTTATTCGCATACTCCTGCGACTCAAGTAACCCGCACATGAAAAAGTCAAACGGGATCAAATCGCACCATCTTGGTGGCCAGATCACATCACCTCCATGTGAGATGATCATGCTCTCACATCGCTCGTGCAGCATATCCAATGTGGCATGAGCTGTGTGGCACGTAGAGCCATCCTGTTGAAAGCACGTGTTGTTGTTGACGCCGCCAGCCCAAAATCCACACCAATCAGTGACTTTTTCGGAATGCATTGGACACTCTTGTATCTCCTGTGGATAGGTATCGTCCCAACTTCGACAATTTTGTTTGTTCACGTACTCGCTGATCCAGACATAAGCCTCTTCGCTGAAAATGATTTTTCGATAAAAATCAGGGTCAGTTACTAACTGCTCCAGACCCCATTCAGCGAACACGTCGTTGTCTATGATTGTTCACCCCAAGTTCCTGGGTCAGTTGAATTTTGTATGGGTGCAGGCCCAACTCATGACGGAAAATTCTCCAAGTTGTGGTTTGCGAAAGGCAAAATCGACTGCCTCGGATTCTCCTGCAGACTCTCACAGACAGCGGCGATTTTTTCGGCAAATCTTGCGTTTCAACGTACGGGTGTTGGTCGATCGTTAACTGAACCAGTGGACTCAAATTCATCCACAACATTGCGAACAGTCCTGTCGGTAGGGCGAGTATGGCGACCGTAAAATGGGCACAGTACGCGGTACGTTGCGAGAACAAAACAATCATTTTGATAAAACAATGTCATTATTTGCACGTGTTGTTGTATGCTCTATCCGTATCTGGTGATTTGGCGAAACATAGTAAATAAATGACAACTGATTTGCAGCTTCAACAACATTGGCACTATCAATTGTTAAAGTTCGGAATGGCTTGTTTGAAGACCCCATATAATTCAGCCGATGATTTCACTAAATTTTAAATTATCCTACGTCAGTTTGAAGTTTGACTGGTTAGCTAGTTGGATATATTGGAAAATAAACATTTCCAATAACAATCATGTCTCACCTCGTTCTCTCGTCTGCCATAAACAGGTAAGGACACCGTTGTCATATATTTATAATCCATAGTCTCGTTTTGGTATTTCATATAGTCCTGTGAAAAAAAAATACTGTGAAGCAAGTTCAGGTTGTACAATTTACAGGCTGTACTCACATGAGTCTCCTTCAGTAACATATAGTCTTTGGAGGTCAACACTTTATGCTGCCTCCAGAAATCTCGCTTGACGTGATCGAGAAATACTTCTCGCTGGCGAATACCTTCAAATTTCTTCCACAGCCAGTTAGAAAGTCTTCTATCTGCCAAATCCACGTGGAGGTAACTCCAAATGTACTTTTTGGACTTTTTTCCTGTTAGATTGATAGGGCGTGACATAACATTTAAGTAGTTCAGCATTTTTTCTCTGATGTCTCCCATGTATGTCATATTTGCCCAGTAACCTAAGGAATATAACTTAGTGTTAAACGAAGGAAAGCTGGTAAACATCTATTCATGTTTCTCAAATAAATAAATATAGTTAAAACACTAAAAAACACGCTTTTGAAGAACATCGAACTAAAAAGTTGAAAATAAGTGTTTTTAAAATAAGCTCAAAATGATAACGAACGAAAAGTACTAATATTATTGTGAACAAAGCGACAGGCGCTTGGAAATGCGTGGCCACAAAGTGCGGCATCTGTCCGCGAATAGAGCAAGCAATAATGTTGATATTCCAAGGAGGTCACTCACAGAGCCATCTGCCCACGAATAGATCAAGCAATGTTTACCGAACTGAACGAAGTAGATTTTTTCACTCTAGGGCTGATTATTAACAGCAAATGGAAAAAAAACCTTCATGTATTCAGTGGAGAATTTGGTCCCCAACAAGTATAATGTTCGACTGATCCATTTCTTGAAGGAACAAGTAATATTTCATTGGAAAATCTATAACATGAAATTATGATGAATTACGCCCAAAAGTGTTCTATTTTCGAAGAAATTTTGCCTCTGCCATCATCAAAATAACAGAAAAAATGTAAAGTTTTCAAAAGTAATTTGTCGTTGACATTGAGGTCATTGCAATAAGTTCTTAGACAAAATCGACTTGAATTTGGCATTTTTGGAAAAACTTATTGTTGGAAAGTCGAACCGTTATCTTTCGAATGAGATGATCGATTTTCGAAAGCGAATGAACAAAAAATAGGAAATCAAAAGTCTTTTTTCAATGAAGCTAGATTCATCTCCCATTCTCATTGAAAAATTATGAGATGATAATACCGATTTGATTTGTTGAATGTTGAATTTTATAAACGAATGTTGATCTGTTTTTTTTCTACTTTGCGATGCATTTTCAATGTCCCACTCTGTATCGGTGATGAATTATAGACTTTGGAAAATATTTTTTTAATTTTTGTAATGAAAATATATGCTTTACCCATATTGGTGCAAGCTATCCATTCCAATTCTTTGGCATCGTTGATGTCATGTCCAATCTGATAAGTAAAGATCCTCACTGGATAATCTTTTTTCCAATTTCGTTCCACGAATATTTCTTTGATATAATCATAGTCAATCCCTTCTGTCATCAACATAATCGCTTGATTGCACCTAGCACCTGAAATTTTTGAAATTATTCTCATATCCCTGTCTTCACAAGTCATGAAAAAAAATCATTTATATAATATTCATTGCTTCTGACAAATATTTCACAACCCCAGAATATGAAGTCAATATCTTCACCTACTACAAAATGACGGGACGTTACACATTAATATCGATATTTCTAGAAATATTCCTTTTCATCTGCCATATGGCAATTCTAACAACTCGATAGGGTTCGTTAAGTTATTTTTTGTTTATAAAAATGACAAAAAATATCAGTACGACAATGAAAATCATTGTTCAGTTAGAATATTCTATCCTATTGAATTCGATGTGGATATTGTATTCCAACAAGATGAAGCACCACTCCAGACAAGTAAGAAACTATTTGGATACTACTTTTCCCGGTCGTTGGATTGGCCGTCGAGGTCCTACAGAATGACCAGCCGGCTCGCCAGATTTGACACCTTTGGAGCATTTTATTGGGGCTATTTGAAGCAAAAGGTGTACGAAACTGAACCTGCTTCAATATTGGATATACGGCAGAGAATAATAAATATTTGTAGAGATATTGACGTTACTGTGTTCAAAAATGTTCGGCGTGAAATATCGGATGAGCTGTTCATATGTCAAGAAGTTCAAGCCAACCATTTCGAGCATCTTCTGCACTGATTTCAAGCTTTTTACCTCATATTATGTAGTTAAATGTCAATGTATCCAGACAATTATTAAAAGTTTCGCCATTTTGTAGTAGTTAAAGATGTTGACAAGTAGTTGTTTACAGCTGATTCTCGGCCTCCCCCCACCACTATGACGTATTAATTGCTTTTTTTATTGGTTGTTGTTTGGTGAAGTTTTTTTGTTGTGCAGTGAAGTCAAGGCGTTGTGACCTTGAAGTGTCTGGTGCATGGATCGTTCAGATTTTTTTTTCATATGAGATTTTGTGTGTTTATGTGTGTGTGTAGG